CAGGTTGAGGTCATGAGAATGAACAAGACTTAGTGTGCTAAGTATTAACGCCATATGTCAATGGACTTTGAAAATATTTGAGGTGTTACAAAATGTTTAACAAAAGTGGTTACGCCGACACTCTGGTGATTAGGATAACTCTTCTTATTCTTATCAAATAGTCGAGCTAAAAATCAGCATCAAAACTAAAGAAACAAACAAACAGTCAAGCACTTTATCTAGACAGTCATCTTATTGTCTGTACCATTACTAACCTGTTTGACATGAAGAGGCTGCGACACGAATTATATGAAATAACTTTTGGAAATAATTTGCATTGTCCACATCATTAGACATAACCCCCAGTTACCCTCCCCTTGATGAGCATATTAGGCTATCTCTCTACATACACGTGTATATATTATGTGTAGTTATCTATAAAGTACTTCAAGTATACCTTTATACACAGTGTTTTAATCCAGTCTGTTCCATCTTCCTCCTCCTCCTCACTTTCTTTTTTCTCATCTTGTCTCAACCACTGAAAATAACAACACTTCCAGTTGTAAGTACATGTTCCATTCTTCTTGTTTTGTTTTTATTTAGAGTATTACAATAACATCAATACTGTTTTTGTCATGTCATATGTTTTTTCTGACAATATTGAAAAATTATTACAATGATTGCTTAAAAACCAAAATATCTTATTTCAATTAATGTTCATATCTTTGCTGTTTGGTGTTTCTAGTTGCCAAATAATACTTGAAATAATGCATGTATTGGGCACCTGAAGTCTTCCTCTACCATTAAAGCTGGAAGGTTGTTGTATGCTCTTCCTAGGGTCAGTTACCCCAAAAAAAACAAGACTAAACTTGTACAACAGACTTGCACTGCTTTGACTTCAAAACTGTACAGTGATGTAATTGTGAACAACTTTAAATCAAGCAGCAAACTGTGCAGAGTCACTGTCTGGTCTAACAGCATCAATGTGTAGACTGGTCTGGTTTTATACTGGTGGTAATTATTAACCCTGAATATGCTAAATATTTTAAATGGACTTGTCCCACTTCCATTTTGGGACTGTCCATTATCAATTATAGTGATATCAGTTAGAATATCTAAAGTTTGTCAGACAATAGTATAGAGCGTGGTCAGACTGGGCTGGCTCTACACTGTTGGCCAAGGCTTAACGCTTTCAGTTCCAGCACTTTATGGGTTCAAATAGGAAAGTTATAAGCCCCATTAGCATTCAAAAACTAAAGTTTAAACAAAAGATTCAGAATTATACACTCTAATGTCATATCCTTGACATAAAACTTATATTTCCTTCTTTAGGTAGACCATCATGAGCCTTTAAGGTAAATTAGCTACATTTATCTTTAAGAGCCTAATTAAAATACCTCTAGAACTGCATTCTGAGTACAGGTACCAGTGAAGGCTCCCAGCACACGGGGTAACAAGCCTGTGTACATTCCAATGAATCCATCTGTGGTCCATATATGTCCAGCTGAAAGAATATCGTTGACAAAGATTAGATATACATGTACGTCAATTTATAATTACAATGTAATTCAAATAAAATTAAGACAAACTAGAACTATCACTAAATGTGATTAATACCCCCACAAGTCTGCTTCGGAAATGAGGATGTTACTAGTAACAGAATACCTTGTAAAAGAATTGAAACATAGAGTTATGGTTGTGGGCAATTAAAGATAATTGTTGTTCATGTATGTTGCATTTCCTTTGAATGTGGTTGGCCATTGATGAAGTTTAATTGAATTACTCTGTATTAAGTCCAAAAAGACAAAGAAAAAGAACAAAGGGCAATAACTCTATAAATACTGAAGATAGAGTTATAGTTCTTGTGCACTGCACTTCCTCTTATTGAACTTGACCATTGTATGAAGTTGTTTTGAATTCCAACCAGTACGTTTTAAGTTATGCTCCGGACAAGGAAAAGTATCAAAGGGCAGTAACTCTGTATTTTGTCAAAATGGAGTTATGGCTCTTGTGCACTGCACTTCCCCTTATTGTGTTTGACAATTGTATGAAGTTGTTTTGAATTCCAACCAGTAGTTTTCAAGTTATGCCACGGACAAGGAAAAGTAACAAAGGGCAATAACTCTGTAATTAGTCAAGATAGAGTTATGTTTCTTACGCACTGCACTTCCTCTCAATGTGCTTGACCATTGTATGTAGTTATATTGAATTCCAACAATTAGTCTTCAAGTTATGCTCCGGACAAGGAAAATGCAACGGACAAAAAAAAAAGCAATGGAAAAGCAACAAAGGGCAATAACTCTGTAATTACTTTAGATAGAGTTATGGTTCTTGTGCACTGCACTTCCCCTTATTGTGTTTGACAATTGTATGAAGTTGTTTTGAATTCCAACCAGTAGTTTTCAAGTTATGCCCCGGACAAGGAAAAGTAACAAAGGGCAATAACTCTGTAATTAGTCAAGATAGAGTTATGGTTCTTGTGCACTGCACTTCCTCTCAATGTGCTTGACCATTGTGTGTAGTTATATTGAATTCCAACCATTAGTTTTCAAGTTATGCTCCGGACAAGGAAAATGCAACGGACGTCTGGACCGACCGACCGACCAACCGACCGACCACCGGGTGACTCCTATATACCCCCCCAAACTTCGTTTTTGGGGGTATAATAAATACACAAAATGTACATGCAATGAACAAATAAAGTAATTTTTTTGACACTGGGTGAAGGGTTGCTTAGTGATTAAGCTATCTGTAATTCAACCACAAGGCCATCAGATTGAATTAAATGTAAGAGTCAAGTTAAAGTTATTAAATGCATGCAAGGCAATATGTCTTAATTCCAACGTTTCGAAAATAAGTCAAAACGCCATGTCAAATTAATTAGTCTATATTATAAGCAGTACTACTGCAAGACAGGCAAAATCTGATTTTGACTTACCTATCTATCTTTATCTGAAGCATTTCTTAGCTTGTCAAATTTTGAAAAATTCCAGCTGTCAATGCTAGCTTTGGGACAAACTGGGCAATACAGACAATTGATTTTGCCACCCCTGAAGTCTACTATTTTAACTATGTTTTAAACTTTCATCATGGCACTGCTATCAACAGCATGATTTTTTTATAATCAGTTTATATTATAACATTTCATCTCAACTGAAAGTATAGAAAATATTTAACCAAAACAAACTGAAACAATTCCACAGAGCACCTCAATTAATTGACACATCTCTTATGATAAAAAAACTCTACCTTTTTTATTGCTTTACTCTTATTTTTTGAGTGTCATACAAAAAAGATATGGTTCCCTAAAAAAATAGTTACACTTAGTTTTAAATAGTATAATTTTTACTAACCATATTTCAGAATGTTCGGGTAATAATAATATTCCTTTCCAAAGATATTGGTGCCAAGTTTAGCTGGTATTGGCTCATGTCCAAGCTGGAAAGGATAAAACAAAACAAATCTTTTAATATCTACAATTAGACTTATTTTCCAAAATTACATGTAATTGTTCTCGTACATGATGACAAGTTTTACTTCTTTTAATGAAGAGAATTCTTTATGCTTTTTGAAAGTAAAATGATTCAGACAGATCTTTCTAGCAAGTCAATAACAGGAATTTAAGGAATAGGACACTGCTTCTAGCATTTCCTTTAATGGAAAGGTAAAATCATAACTGCATGCAATACTTGCAGAAGCTGTATTCTGTTGATGCATCACTGACTCTTATGCACTTAATTTTTATTTTTTTTTTTGGTTATGTTTTAAAGTACGCCTATATACATTATAGGTCATATGCCAACTTTCCAGCTTTACTGGAGCAGGAAGACCTCAGGTGCCCTTCTGTGCATTATTCCAGGCAAGAACTGGCACCTGAGTAAAACCACCCACATTCAATAAGCTGGTTGGATAGTTTCCTCACATGAAAGAATCCAAAGTCTCTATCATAATTTGAACCCACAGTAGTGAGGGACAAGTGGTTTGAAGTCAACAACATAAACCACTCAGCCAAGAACGCACCTTCTTAGACAATAATTAAAAAAGTATGAGGAACATTGTTCCTGTTTTAAACTGTGTACAGCTGCCTTTCAAATAAAGTTTGTTTCCTGCTTTTTTGTTTTTCTTCTGATGTCAAATGCTACAGGTGAAAGGTCAAAGTTTATAGGGTTTATTTTATACCATGTTTGTAATGTTTCAGAAATATGTTTAGCCTCATTCTGAATTGTTACTATTTTTTATCCTTTTTTTATTTGCTGAGGCACCGTTCTGACTGGTTGCATTCATTTCAAGTTTTGGAGGGTTGATTGAAGAGTATTGATTAAGGAATTTCAGAAAGTGACTAACAGTATGAGCCTGTACGGCTAGCCAAAAGTTCTAGCCGTTTGTGAGTTTACTTTGATAATGATGCTCTGCCACTTTGTAAAAAAAATATACGATGGAAATACAAGTGTTGTCATCTTGATAAAAGTGACAAAATTACATGATGCATAAATATTCAAAGTACATACATTGTGTATGTGTATGCAAATTTATATTTATGATTAAATGATCAATATTTTAAGTTATAACGTCCGTGCTTTTTATGCTAATGTTTAGTTGTTTTATTTGTATGAAAGAAGAATTATTAAATCATTTATTTGTTAATTAAGCACACGGAATAAATAAATAATCATATAACAGCAAAAAATCTTGTTTTCGTCTATTTAAAAAATAAATGCAACTCACTAGAGCCCTGGTGTCGTGTGTTTATATGTATAATTTTATTTTCAAATAGATGAATATCGAACATTAAATCAAAATCAATTAGCTTTAATTAAAAATGCGTTTCATAGAACATGCCAACTTTCCTTACTAGTGGATAAACTTTTAATGTCAGTAATTGACACAATAATTTTAGTCCAATAATAAATATTTTCAATGCTGTTTTTCATTTTAAAGATGTTGAGAATTAAACTTCTTGAAACAAAAAAGGATTATTATAAGAATTATTAATAATTATGTAAACGATTTCAATTGATGTTAATCACTTGCAACTAAATGCTCATCTTTTCTTGCCGTCTGGTGATTGACAAAGATCGATATTCGTACTTTCTTTACTGTAGCCAACATGGCAATTCATCTCTAAAAATTAACCAAACACAATTGCTGTTTCTTGGTTAAATCCTCGCTTAAAGAAGGAAGTGGCTAGCCGTACGGGCCCAAAAATGCTTAATTTAGTATTTTCTTTGTTCAGTGGTTGTCAGTCACTTTTTTATCAACAATAAGTGCATGTTTCTTTTAAAATTAAGTAAATAAATTTATTTCAACCTCCGTAAATGGTAATATTTTAATGTCTATTTCAAAAATGTTGACGTTGAAATTCGGGGGTCAAGAAAGCAATGCCTGACCTCATATACCAGCTAAAATCATTTGCAGAGTGAATAATAGAATATCCAAAACTTCAGCATTTGTTGCTGACATATTGTTTATCATGTTACAAATAAAAAATCAAAACACCCAAGCTTTTATCTGAATTAAATCACATCATGTACATATCTGTCCGGACACATGGTACTGTAGTGTAGACAATTTAGGTAATTTTGATACCCTCCTTGTCCAGCCTCAGATATAAATATCAATACAATCAGACATAAACAAATTAGTTTGTTAGTTAGGAGAAGAACCTAGCTGAATCGTGTCAAATTTTTTGGTCTCTAGGTTAAAAATTATGAAATCTGTACGGAAAAATGTTCCAAAAGTGTCCGGTTGATGGTCACCGACCAGTAGCGAACAAGGCGATTAATCTCTAAAAAGTAAACATACGAAGACAATTGCTGTTTCTTGGTTAAAAATCCTCGCTTAAAGTCATAAAATAACATATACATTTTCGACTTCCATCTAATTTTGAAAATGCCGTACGGCTAGCCAATACAGTGTGTCCTTGCTAGTAGTACGTGACTCACGTACGGCTAGAACTTTTGGCTATCCGTAAGGCTAGCCACTTCCCTTAAAGAAATAAAATAACATAGCTATGCATTTTTGACTTCCATATATAATTTTGAAAAGTACCGTACAGCTAGACAATTCAGTGTGTCCTGTCTAAACGTATGTGAGTCACGTACGGCTAGAAATTAGCCACTTTCATTGATTAAGCAAGATATAATGTATATTTATAACCTTGGGTCCTGGGTTGACCGTTCCAAACCAGAGTCCAGAGACCTAACAACTGAGGATTTTCATGATCTTCAGTTATCACTACATTTCAAACGGCTTAACAGATATTATTTACATATAAAATACAAAATAATTAATACTATGTTAGCCGGACAACAATTGTTAATTCATCGTATTTCTAAATTATTTCTGAATGTTATAATTTTTGGGAGTGTCATTGAAAAAAAAAGACAGTTCAAGCAAACTTTCGATACCAGATACGTGACATCAAATTAGGCATTGAATAATTCAATAAGTGAAGAACACTTAACTTTACCTGAATCAAAATTTTAGCATGTCCAATAGGGTGGAATAGAGCAGTAACACACTGACTCAAAGCGACAGTTCCAAAGTTAATGGGGGCTACCATTTTGCTAGGGCACAGAACAATTCCCGTGTCTGCCGGCCGGTCTCTAATACGTATTTTTGGGTAATATACCACTAAATATATAATGTTGGAAAATAAGATAGTGGACTGTTTACAAACTATATTTAAGATGCTTGGACATTTCATTTGACTATGCCGTTTTCAAATTTTCTAACAATATATCCATACATCAATACTCTATTGACATGATATCTGAATGTTTTGATTTTTCAAGTTTTTAGTTATCTTTTGCAATGTAGTTGGCTTTTATTGTGTTTGATTTAAATCACAGATTATGTTAGGTACAGTAAGCCCAATAGAGCTGCCAGTCTGGGCCTGGATAAATTTAACCAATATATCATACCATTCCACCACAGAGTTGGATTGGGTATCCCGCTGTTAAGCAAATTCATGAGAGTTCCTTTTTTGCAAACATTTTCAGGAATGTATTTTTCATTCGTGTTTAGCGTGTAAAATCTTTGCAGGAAAATGTCAATATCTAGACGATGAATCTGTGAAAAAAGTGGGACATTAAGATATCATGTCAATAGACTATCAAATGATGTATGGATATATTGTTAGGGTAATGTAACGATTCGCCACACTAACGATTCGCCACATAACGATTCGACACAGAGTAATAACGATTCGCCACAGTTAAATAACGATTCGCCACGTGTTCAAAAACAAACTTTTTCACACCTGTTTTCAAATTGTTGATGGAAATTTGTTTCCATTTTATATGTCATTTGTTAATTACATAAATTAATTACACTTAATACAGCTTTTATTGAATAAAAAACACGCGAAAACCAAATATTTTATTAACAAAATTACGTAACACATTTTATAACTGTGTGGTCACATGACAAAAGCAAAGAAAATAATAATAAGAAGAACATAAAAAGTTTTAACTGATGACATTCTAACGGAGAACAGACAGCTGCAAATAAAGGGAACAAAGAACATCACAATTAAAATTATTTCATTATCATTCATAGAAATAAAAAGTTCCAGTAAGAAGAGAACACCAAAAAACAGAAAAGACGTGACAATAACAGCGTCAAAAGTATAGTATTACATGTATCTTTTTTAACGATAATAAGTTGAAACAATTAACATTTCAAAAATGTGTTATGAATTAACAACGGGTGAGTAACAATTCTTGTCGCTTTTTATTAGCTACATCTATATATTTTCCTAAATTTACAAGTATAGCTTTATTATCTGATTGTAATAACTCTACTTATTTATACACATTTATATAACTAACATATTTTATTACAAAATTTACATAAATAAGCTGAATTGCCGCATTGTTTTGAAATCTGATCACATTGTCAGATAATTAAAGGATTATGTCGACGTCAATTAAATATTTCTACAACAAGCTTAAGGTGATTGGCTTATTAAAATTAAAGGTGTGACAAATGTTTTAGATATACATGTAAGTTACAACGCATATTGGGTGTTCTTCGTAAAAAGAAAGCTAAAAAGGAGCGGAGCTTGCGAAGCGACTGTAGCTTTCTTATTTACGAAGAACATCCAATATGCACTCTAACCGGCTTAGTGCTCCGCCCACTTGCGTTTTATAATATAAAACGTCTAGTTTATATAAAATCTGTTCTATTAAGATTTGTAACCTGAAAATTTGAAAAATCCTCGTCGGTGATTGGCTTAAAAAAATTGGCGAGCACTATTAAGTATTATTACAGGAGCTATAACGAATAAGAGCACAACATCTCATATCTTATGACAAGTAGATTACATATGAAAACGGGAGAAAATGTTTGATGCTTATTTTAATAGGTTTATTTTTTATGCAAACCACACTTTGTCGGAAATTTACAAACATTATTTTACCAATGTAGGTATTTTCGTATGATTTCTTATAAAGCTATATTGGACTATACATGTATGTATTGACAATTCCACAGATATATCTTAAATTTAGCTCCATGACTATTCATAAGAATATTGCATTGCATATTTCTAAAAATTAACCAAAATACATAAATTCATTTCAAAAAGGATAAATGTCATAATTGTAGAAAAGAAAATATTTATGTCTTGAGGAGTCTGCTTTACTGTATTAATAGCCAGAAGGAGTGTATAAGATTATTGCTTGTTGTTTAAAATTAACCAGCTTCGAACGGCAGATGTAAATGAACTGTATTATCTTGTCATTTTCCTTTTTTGTCAAATATTTGAAAGAATCTAGTCAAGCCCCACACGAGAATGTTTGCATAACTGTGACTTTGTCCAAAATATATTGTCTTTAACACTGTTCAAGTAAAATGAGATCAGAAAAACATTGTATATTAAATTAGGTTAGCCATCTGCGATGCCTCAAAAAAATTTCATTTTGTCGGGGCGAATATTATTCTGTAATATAAGTCTCTGGATGGGTCACCCCTGAATCTGTCAAGTTTAAAATGTCATGTCTGCTACCGCGTAGTACATATTTTCACATCCTTTCACTCAGAACTGAGGTCCTGAAGAATTCACACAAAACAAAACTGTATGTATATCACACATTGCTTGGGTGGAAATTATATAGTGGTTTAAGACCCAAAAATAATATAATTTTCACAGTGTTATTAATTTTACAGTACACAAAAGTTGTTTACAAATGGCGTCTGAGGGAACAACAGAAAGTTTTTAAAATTACCGCCTAAAGAAACAAAATAAAGTACACCTGTAATCAAAGTAAGTTCAAATTGTGATATACACACATATATAATAATATAGGGCCCATAATAATTGAAAAGGATATCGCTGGTTAATTAATTTGACTCAATTTATAAAGATTCGCCCCACTGACGATTCGACCCAGATGAGTGACGATTAGCCCCACGTTAAAATAAGCATATGAAATGTACTTCGTATCATTTACATTTATTATGATTTAATAAAATGTAAATATTGGTATGTTTATGAAATAAAATGACATCTTCTTTTATTTTAAGGCAGTGTTTAGTTGTCCCTGCAGGTAAAGCATCCTTGCCCATTCAGATGTAATCTGAAAATGAGTTTCTTTACACACTGAACAAAAATTGACTGTTTCCACCATTAAAATAGAACTACGGAAAGTCATTCTGCCTATTCCCACAAATTGCCCAAAGGGTACCAAAACAATGATTTAAAAACAAGTTTCAGTGTCGTAATTAGTTATTTTAAAACTTAAAAATAATTCCATTGATAGGAAAATCCAAAGCTGCCCGAGTATGTTGAAAATACTTTTTTATTTTACCCCATATTTACCAGTTAAACTGATAATTTCATGTTCTGCCAAGTGAAGGTCGTCTGCTGAAACTGCAATGACGTCATATTCTGTTGAAAAAAAGTTCTACCAAAGCCAAAAAGGGCTATCAATTTACATACCATTATACCATAGTGCTCTCCATTTAAGCTCCCATTCAAACATGGCTGAATGACCATAGATGTTTCTAATTTAATCATTGAGTTATTCTATGAATGACCAGGGTTCTCACTAGGACTTGAAAAGATGGAGTCCATGGACTCCCAACCCTGAAAAAGTTGGAGTCCAAAAGCGCGTCACAATTAATATGTTTACAGATTAGTCATTCAATGCTCACAATAGCATTGCTGATATTTTGAATCTTCAAGAGACTTCCAAAGTTTATAGTTATTCAAAAGAAACTCTGAACTACATAGTTTAATTATTGTTTTGTTGTTAATATTTATTATGAAATTATTTCATTATAATGCATCAACACATGGAAATCTTTTTTTTTTTTTCACTTTTATACCAAATCAAATTTTATTCTGGTTATAAAAGTCCACTCTAAAGACAAAAAGTTTGTATTTGTAAAAAAAAACGTAAATGTATATAGGCAGCGTTTAGCGGAATGAATAGGAAAATCGTGTACAGCTTCACATAGTGTGTAAGAGATTCATCCGATCGAATATCTTCAAAATGGGGCAAATTGAAGATCGATATTTAAAGATTTAATGTTGATTAAATAATAAAGGAACAATGCATTCGCATGTTTGGCTTGGAAACCGAGAATTTTTGCGAAATTTTAGGGTTTCTGGCCAACGTGAAATCGCCGATGTTCGGGATCAATTTTCGGATAGAATCTAAATATCAAAGAAAAGCGTATGTGTACCTGGCATTTTGGCACAATATCATAAATTCTTAATACTCTTATAGAAAGTTTTTGCAAAATTGTGCTTAGAAAATGCCGAAAATATGCGACTATCATTATAATGCCAAAAATATTCGACAATCATTCAAAATTACACTCATTTGTAATTTGAGAAAACAGTCTTTAAACTTGCGGCGTAAATAGTCGATAATTTTATCCTTTTGTCGGTAAAATTTGCTAATTTCCAATCAACTGTTGATCAAAGATATAAAATTATCACCTCGTGTTATATCTGGTAATTACATGTACTGAACATTAGTCTGATCACTATTGCGTGAAAATGATCGGAAGCGTTAGCGCTGATTGGCTAATCGCTTCACGGGTCAATGTGCATAGGACCGCCTACCTATAGACTGACACGCGCTGACGCATTTGTGTATTTGTGGTTGTGAACAATCGGTAATGTTTATGCGTCCCCAGGCAAAATTAAGCGTACGTGGAATCCTTGCTCTGAAATATTTGCGTCCAGCTGTAATAAACATGCGTACCGGGACGCCGAAATAAGCGTCCCCGAGAACCCTGATGACATGTGTATTTTAAAGTCAACATGCGACAGTTGAACACAATTTAATAAAAAAGTAAATACAAGTTCTTTTATTTGTACAATTTGCTGGAAATAATAAGAACAATGCCTATCTTTGTTAAGATAATGATATGCTAGCAGTTATATATCATTATGATTACAAACACAAATTTATAATATTATTTCATTTTATTACAGCTGCACATGTAAATTGTTTATTATCTAAAATATAGACATAATATTATGTGGTTTTCAAATTCCATTTGAATAAATAGGGATGACAACATAAATCAAAAATGTAATCAAAAAGATCATTTAAGTCAGTAATGAGATTTGGATGTCCTATTTTCCTGTTTTGCCTATAACAGTTCTTATCACAATTACAATATTGAATAAACTAACCATTTATTGTGCCCCCACGTTAGTGGCGGGCATTTAGATTTACCCTTGTCCGTCCGTCTGTCCGTCCGTCCGTCCTTCCGTCCGTCCGTTCACTTTTGTGTCGCACGTAACTGAAAAAGTATTTGACCTAGAATCATGAAACTTTACAGGAATGTTGATCAGCATGTGTAGTTGTGCACCTGGGTATTTTCGTCTGGATATTTTAAGTATTTTCAGAGTTATTGCCCTTGACTTAGTAAAATTTTTCAATTTTCAACTTGTGTCGCATGTAACTCAAAAAGTATTTGACCTAGAGTCATGAAACTTTACAGGAATGTTGATCAGCATGTGTAGTTGTGCACCTGGGTATTTTCGTCTGGATATTTTTAGTATTTTCAGAGTTATTGCCCTTGACTTAGTAAAATTTTGCAATTTTCAACTTGTGTCGCATGTAACTCAAAAAGTATTTGACCTAGAGTCATGAAACTTTACAGGAATGTTGATCAGCATGTGTAGTTGTGCACCTGGGTATTTTCGTGTGGATATTTTTAGTATTTTCGGAGTAATTGCCCTTGACTTAGTAAAATTTTGCAATTTTCAACATGTGTCGCACATAACTCAAAAGTATTTGACCTAGAGTCATGTAACTTTACAGGAATATTGATCAGCATTTGCAGTTGTGCACCAGGTATTTTCGTCGTGATTTATTTAGTATTTTTAGAGTTATTGCCCTTCACTTAGACATTTTTCGCAATTTTCAACTTGTGTCGCAAGTTACTCAAAAAAGGATTTTACATAGTCATTAAACCTTATGGGCAGCTTGCTCAGCATATTTAGATTTGCACCTTGGGTTTCGCTTGTGGATTTATCCAGTATTTGTAGAGTTATTTCCCTTGACTTAGTAAAAAGATTGACAGAACAGTGGCGCGGTGGGGGCACCCGTGTCCTATGGACACATTTCTAGTATCCATTAAGTCCATTGCTTACTAGACGTTAGTCAGACCCAAGCTTGAATATGGTTCAGAAGTATGGTCTCCCCACACCAAAATACAAATAGATCAAATCAAAAATGACCAAAGAAGAGCAGCCCAATGGGTTAAGCTAGATTATGGTCAGACCTCTAGCATCACTGGCATGCTTCCACTCCCCTAATCTTCGAAAACTGGAACTCAAACATGATTTTGTAAACGCATGTAAAAGGTCATACAGTAAATATACATGAGAGTACATGTAGATGAGTAAACTCTATTGAAATATTTTCTTTTTTCTTTTTAAAAGTTTAATGAGTTACATATATGCAATCTTGCAGATAGTTACTTAATTAGCTCATATTTCTAACGTATTCTACCCTTCCCTATAAACTAAGCCAAGCCAACAGGCTAAAAACATTTTGCAACATGCCTACAGAAATTCCTGGCTAGAACCCTGGTTAATCCTGTTCCAGAGCAACAGATAAGCCCGGATTCGTCACTTTTGCATGACAGCTCTTATTTTAAAACAGTTTAAGTTTTATTGGTATTGAAACCATGAAATTCATATCTTCATAATTGTATACCAAATCATTGAATCAATCTTAAAATCATAGGGTAACATGTTTAATAATTTACCCAATCAAATGGAGTCAATACCCAGTTCCAAATAAAATAATAGAGTAATACCCAATTCACTTTTTCAAAGCTTATTTGTTGCTCTATATGATATAAAGTGGGGTTAATCATTACTAAAGTAGGACAAGTTGTTACAAGGCCAATTATCAGTGGAGTGAATTGTTTAAGTACTGCTTGAAACCACTTGCCTCTCACTGTTGTTGCTTCAAATCAAGCAAGGAACTTTGGATTCTTTCAAATATGGAAGCTAACAAGCTAGCTTAAATGGAATGTGAATGGTTCTACTCTGGTGCCTGCTTGTGCCATAAACTGTTCACAGAGAAGCACCTGAGGTCGGTGAAGTTCCTCCACCATTAAAGCAAGAAAGTCGTCATATAAAGAAAATTTGAAATGACAACCCATGTCAGGCTTTTGGTATGTGTTAGAATTAATGTAAAGGAAAAGGTAGAAAATTTTTTTTAATGTACTAAAGACAAATACAAAAACATGTTTGTAACAGTTTCAACTTTCTTTGTACAGGACTTTTACAATGAGTGATAATAATAAAGACGAGACTGGGACAGAACCAGATGCGACACATCAGAAGAGTTTAGCCATGCAGGAGGAGAGCATGGGTCCACTTAAAGAAGACCTTGCTGATTGGATAGCAAAGACATTAGGTAAAATCATACCCTACTGGTAGGATAGATAATTTCAACTTGTAGAAGTGAAACTTGCGATGTCATTGTAATGTGTATACAGAAGTTGTTTGCAGGAAATGATGTAAATTCCATGAAATTCAAAATTGTCACATGCTAGATTTATTATTATTTTTCTGAAAAAAAAGAAGAAGAGAACTTTATTGAAGTCAAAGGTATCTCATTATAAATAACAGTTGACAGTTAATTATTTTTATTAGTTAAATCAAATCTGTTTTCAATTTGTATCCCTTGATTACACAATTGATGTCTTGTTACTCTATTATTAAGTTGTTTGGCTCGAATCACTTCGATTTTAAGTCATGTGTTAAAGCTATCCAGCTAGCTTACAAAAGGTTGTTGGTTTTACTGAGATACCTTATCATGCCTGAAATAATATTAGAACTTGGGTGCTTCCATTATCTGTGAAGTTTAAAAGTAAGCTTATGACCTTTACAGAGTCAGTGAAACAAATGAAATAAATGTTATTCTAAACAAAACAAAAAAGAAAAATTTATTTCTTGGAATTTGAATTTTTTTTAGATAACTGACTGATGGAAAGGAGCATGTAATCATGTACATGTATTTGATTGTCATGTATATTGTAAATCCTGTTGAATGTTCCTGTCACGGTTCAGAATTGTTCACTATATAGGGGAGAAGATGTGTAAGCGGCCAGATAGCTCAGTCGGTAGAGCCGAGGGTCCTGGGTTCGAGTCTTGGTCAGGCTGCACATTTTTCTCACCCTGTGACATTTGGCGCCCAACGTGGGACCGTGACTGAATATAGCTCAGAGTTTAATTCACATTGCTGTGTAACTCCGTGAAATTCAAAAAAGAATTTCAATATAGCAGGGGAGTATGTCACGGTTCAGAACTGTTCTCTATATAGGGGAGAAGATGTGTAAGCGGCCGGATAACTCAGTAACTCTATCTGTAGAGCCGCGGTACGGTATTCCGACGGTCCTGGGTTCGAGTCCCGGTCAGGCTGCACATTTTCCTCACCCTGTGACATTCCACTAAAATTGACTATTGTGCACTCTCTTTTCTTGCCTTTCTTCACTTTTACTTTTGAAGCAACAGTAGTGTATTCGCTTAGCTGCGAAAGGAGTGTAGTATATTGATCTGTCATGTATTTCCTAAACATACCTTTCTGATTGGCTGGTAAGTGTTTATGTCAGCAAAAGGACATGTAGACCACTAAAAGATATGTTGATCTAATGATTTTAACCCATTACTTTATGAGTATTTTGTGAAAAAATGGCTGTTTTCATTGAAAAGACTCCTGTTACAGTTCAAATTGCTATGAAACTATAAAAAAGTGTTCAATATCGTTCAAACTTGGCACAAATGTTGACTGGAATGCCAACATGCTCAGTCAAAACTGATTTCAAAGTGCAGCAACTTCTAAATGGATTGAGATAGAGTCAAAGGCTTTTCAGCGTTGGTTACGCGTTACCTTAAGGTAGACCTGAGGCCAGTTTTAGCCTCTCACAAGCCCAAAATTTTCTTGGAGATGAGGGGGTCTGCTGACCCCCTTCAAACCCCCCAAACAGAAGGGGGAATATCCCCCTCTGGCACCCCCTTGATGTATCATTCTATTTGATAGGGGATGACACCGAAATATTGATCACTTGACCATTTCTCAAACGAAAACAAGTGTTTTGGGTCTAAAATAGGGAATTTTTTCACTTGTTAAGGCCTCAAAAGGTGGGGGGTGAAAGTTGTAAAAGACTTATGTTTCCGTCAATATACACTGAACAAAAGTTCTAACCGATCACCCTGAGTTTTCACTTATATATGAAAAAGAATAATACCAATAGATCCGACTTTTATTTTATTTCGAAGAGAATGAACACATTGAGAATAATAAAATTATAACATTTTCTATTTAAATAATACTTATCGATATTTAAAAAAAAAATAATTTATGAACAGCCACTCATCTGTCTGATTGAGGCTCCAGCATTCAACATTCCAACTGCTACGGCACGATCCTGCATCGACATTCGTGCCATGTTTTATGTTTTTTCACTTATAAAGTTAACAAGGATTTATGCAATGTAAATTTTAATACTCACCACGCTCTGCACGAACATTTCGTGCCAAAATGTGTAAACCGCACCCTGTCTCCCGCGTGAAAGCATGGAACCGTATTAAATTATTTTTCTTTCCACAAATCGGTAGAAAATGACTCAAAAATCACCTCTGCAAAATTTTATAAGGATCTATTGACCCGTTATAAAATAATCAAAATTTAAAAAGTGATCGGTTAGAACTTTTGTTAAGTGTATAGTTTTTCAGACCTGATAAAAGTTATATACAGCCCTGAACATAAGTCTTTAATTGTATAATAAAATAATCCTATATATAATAATCATATATTATTATTTCAGAAATAGATATTTCATCAGAGAACTTCATGGATGTGTTAGACAATGGAGTACATCTATGTGACCTTGCAAATGTGATTCACAGAAAGGCGGAGGAGTGTGTAAAGGAGGGAAATTGTACTGATGTATGTACATGTATAAACTTGTATTACAAACAAATTAAGTAAATCAACTTGTATATGTTTAATTTATTTTTGGCTATGAGGAAAGAGTTTGAAAAATAAATAGCATTGCATGGTTTTGGTTTTAGTGATAACTTCATAAGGGTGTTGGGTTTTTAGTCTTATGGACACTGTAAAGGCCATAATATTGGTGACTTTCCACCTTAACTGGTGGAGGAATACCTTAGGTGCCCCTTTGTGCTTTATTTTAGTGCATTAGTAAGGCAGTAAAAACATGGTTATAAATACTGAAAATCAATCATTACGGGCACATTGTATGTGAATTATTACTTAAATCTTGAATCTTATCTTTTTTCCTTCATCTTAGTACATTTTTCTCAGGTTGGATTTTATTGAAGAAATATTTTGGCTGATCTGGAAGCATGCAGCTTTAACCGCACAGACACATGTCCTGTTCATATAATATGTAAACAACTGGCACTGTTTTTTGCATTTGGTGTAAATTCAATCAGTTATGTATAATTATAATTGATCAAAACTCTATTTCAGGATATACCAAAAGTACATTTGAAATGTCGAAGAAATGCACAATCAGGTAGTTGGTTTGCTAGAGACAATTCTGCTAGTTTTCTCAAATGGTGTAAATCCTTCAAAATGCAGGATGACTGTTTGTTTGAGTCAGAAGACCTAGGTAAGGCCAGTCCATTGTTATACATTTGTATTATAATAGATAATACAGTAGTCATTGTCATGTATCCATCCCTCCAGGGCATTTTTTGTCAAAATTGTGAAGGGGCCTGGACCTGTTCATTTTGTGAAAAAGCATGATTTGTCATAAAATTGTGAAAAAAAATTACATATTATTTGGCGTTTAGCGACATTATGAAACTGGAAAATGTCTTCAAGTCGGTACTTTAACCCTCTTAACATGTGCTTAAACCATTTAAATTGATTAAAACTATTTCTGTGTTCTTGAAATTGGCGTAAATCATGTTTAACTGGAGGGTAAACAATGTTCAAAGACAAAGTCCCAATATTTTGTGAAATTTCTTTTGAAATTGTGAATTTTTTTCCGCCACTTTGTGAAAAAAAAAAGAGTGTAATTTTGAATTATGAAGGGGCCTTATATAGGCCCTTGTTATAGAAGAAAAAAAAGCCCTGCCCTCTGTGCATCTTAATAATGTATTTTGATTGGTTGAATTGGAATATGATATTGATCATGCTAAAAAATGTTTTTTTAGCAGTCAAAATGTTTGACCATTTAAAATGTTTGATCATTTGTTAAAAAAGTTATGAACTGTGAAAGAATTCTCCAGCTTTTATTTTCTGTTGGAAAAACAATTCTTTTTTGTTTCAAACTAAGTATTTCAGTAATTTCATCTTGGATCCATCACTGTTAAATTTTGTTTCAAAAGTGATTTCATCTTGGATCCATCACTGTTAAATTTTCTTTAAAACAGTGGCCCAAGAGCTATTTTTAACGTGTCAGTGACATTTGTTTCTAAAATTAGAAGATCGGGAAACAAGTCATCTGCTTTACTTATTTAAGATATAGAGAGCGGGCCAGTTGATTAGATGTATCAAGGGGTTTCCTAATTGTTTATGTATATTATCGTCGGTAAATTTCATTTTCCACTTTAATTATTTTTATTTGACAATTATATGAAACAATTAATAAAATATTTAAGCTTTAGAACTTTACACTTACTGTTTTTTGTAAAAACTTCTTTTGTAATTACAATACAATCAGAAAATCCGCAATTTTAACTATTACCTAAATAATCCTTTTTTTTACATATTTTCTTATTATTTTAATCTGTAAAACGGAAAACTCTCATTGCAACCACACATCTTAACATTTATGTAATGTGATGTGTTAGATTAAGAATATAGTGTGATATGTTTATCATCTAGGTATTGGAAGATATTTGGTGAGTATACGGCACAGAATGTGAAGCAGACAAAATTTTACGACTTACAATTTTAAAATAAACAAAGCAATGTAAGTCCAAGCTGTAAATACTGTTGAAGTGATCTGCACCTGGTCCATTTTCAGTGGTTTTTTTTCCCTTCTTTTGGAATGGTGCCGGTACCAGACTGATTTGGGAAAAAATGCGTTATTTTGACTTAAATTGGGAATTTTTTTATACATTTTTTCAGCTACAAATAAGATTATTCACCATGAATAAAGACAGCTAACAGCTTTCACTGTCCAGGTAGAACTATTGAGTGGTGATTTATATGAATATGTTGGATTTAAATGATTTTAGAGAAATCACTTGGCCTTGTAGGAATTTTGAACAGCCATTTTTGGAATTTAAACATTTTCTATTGGGAACAGTACCTTTTTAGGGTAGTAGTTATATAAAGAAAAAACCCGCTGATTTTAGAATAGAGCTATGAAAGGACCAATCAATGATTTGTTTTGCAGACTGGTTCCCACAATATCTTCTAACAATATGAAGCGATTATATTTACACCTTTGACCAGTCTTTGTAGCAGCCCTATCATTGGTTGATTTTGAATTTGAACTTTGAATCAGCCAATAAAATTTTTGAGTTTTTGACTGGTTTTTGTTAACTTCATTTAGCAATAGTAACTGTAGCCAAACAACAGATATTGAAGTGTTCATAATGGAAAATGCTTGCTTCTTTATAGATAGAATAGTATTGTTGTTGATAATAAATCAATTTGTGATATAAATGATTAATTAAATGAATGCTCCCTTAGATAATCTGTTAGAAGCTTCCGTAATTTTTACCCTTAACCTGCTGAATTTGTGTAATGGATTTAAATTTTGGACAGTCCATTTGAAATTTTAATGAATTTTAGTATTAAAAATACCAAAATTCAGCTAATCAACATTAAAGAGCCTGGACGGACTGCACAGACTTACAGGCTAGCCTGGCTTTTTACTGGTGGCAAAGGCTAATTACTTTTGGGTCCAGCAGGTTCTGGGTTAAAGGCTGCGGCACAAAGAATGATATATTATCTATTAATATCATAATTTGATGAATGAATGGATGGTTCATGTTGATGAAACTATTATTAAAATCTTGCTGGGCTACTATTCTAAATGTACATGTATATGCAAAATTGTATTGTTATAAGATGCATACTTGTCCCATGAATATAACAATTATTCTTGTTGAATGATATTTGATGTTGGTTGTTTAACATAGATAGATATGAAATGCATGTTTGTTTATAGCTCAACTATTCAAAAAATAGGGACAGTGGTTGTATTCACCCCAGTGTTGGTGTCGACCTTGGCTTCCCTATCACACTTTGGTTAAGTTCTTACGTACAGGTTGGTATCTCTTAATATGCAGAAGGGAATGAGTTGCAACTTCACACATTTGTTCTCTGTTATTGACTAACATGTTGAGCACAGGTCTTATAACTCTGAGTTACCTTTTAAACAGAGTAATGCCCCTTACTGGCGATCACTGAGAATAGTTGAGCGCGCTGACTTACAGATAGCTCTTGTTAAAATGGATTGCCTTTTTGTCATAATATATCAGGAATAATCTTAAGGTTGATTCTGTATGAGCAAATCTTCTTGGCTTTTCCATTAAATTAAAATAGAATCACTACAATGTATAAGATTTTCCAAAATATTATTTAGTAGAACGATATTTGAAAACATATAAATACCCCATTGTATCTAAATAGCAAATGCAAGTTTTGTGGAGGATTTGCATTGCACTATTAGCACTTGAGTTATGAATTGACTTGGGTTGGGAGCACTTTATTAGATATGTTGTCACATTGATTTTAAAAAAAAGATATATCAAACAGAATTTAAAATCAGTGACATAATTAACATAAATTATCATCAAATTATTTACCTACAATCAAGGCTGGTTTGGGTATGTTGGAGCACTGTATTGGATAGCTCTTATCATAAACTTGTCAAAGGTCATTGATAGATATTCATATTTCTATGTTATAAGTTTATTAATTATAATAAGTAGTGCAGGTGTTAATTGTAATTTTGTATATATGAATTTGTTTGAAAGTATGTCACTAAAAATGTTTGTTACTGGCTATTTTGAGAAGTTATTTAAAGAAAGGAATCATTTACATTTCAGTTTCTCACAAATCAGAGAGACAGGTGATAGTTACTTTGTTAGAGTTAGCTCGTATTGGATATAAATATGGATTAGAACCGCCCAGTATCATCAAAATAGAGAAGGAACTGGAGAAGGAGGAGCAACCAGAAGCTCCGCCCCAAAAACCTAAAGCACCTCCTTCAGCAAGGTCAAGACCACTAAATTTAGATGAAGAGGTAAGATTTTTGATGATTAAGGAGGATACTGAAATGGCAGGAATGATAAATAAACTTTAAACTTGAACTTTTACACTTCTGTAACCAAATACAATTTTAATTTTTATCACAGTAATTACAATAATAGTGTTTTTTTCATACTCAAGGTATCATTCATGTGTAAATTTTAATTCAGTTTTTAGTATACTTTACATGGTATGCAACCAAAAGGTGTCTCATAAGTCAAAATGGCTGGCCCTTTCAGTAGGGGTGACACTATAATAAACAAGACCTTTTTATACTTTATCTGAACATCAGAAACCTAGTCACATATTGTATAAATTCTATCAGTCTATTATATTATTGAGTTTCTTATATAGCCAACCAAATGTTAAATGATTTGCGCAAATTTCGAAATCTTTTTTTTTTTTCAAACAGGTCCGTAAGATGGCAGCAAAGTGCAATTGTTCAGAACATGTTACTAGAATTAGAGAAGGAAAGTATATGGTGTTTGGAAAAGCTGTGATAATAAGGGTTAGTTAATTTAATGTGGCTATTTAGTTGGTTTTTAAGCTTTTCAAATGATTGATAAAATGTAAGTGGTGGCACAAGTGTCTGTTTATGGATGCAGTGACAGGTGCCTGCTTCTGGATGCAGTGACAGGAGCCTGCTTCTGGATGCAGTGACAGGTGTCTGCTTCTGGATGCAGTGACAAGTGTCTGCTTCTGGATGCAATGACAGGTGTCTGCTTCTGAATGCAAAGACAGGTGTCTGCTTCTGGATGCAGTGACAGGTGTTTCCTTCTGGATTCAGTGTCAAGTGCTTCCTTCTGGATTCAGTGACAGGTGTCTGCTTCTGGATCCAGTGGCAGGTGTCTGCTTTTGGATCCAGTGACAGGTGTCTGCTTCTGGATTCAGTGACAGGTGTTTGCTTCTGGATGCAGTGACAGGTGCTTCCTTTTGGATTCAGTGACAGGTGTCTGCTTCTGGATGCAGTGACAGGTGTCTGCTTCTGTATTCAGTGACAGGTGTTTGCTTCTGGATTCAGTGACAAGTGTCTGCTTCTGGATGCAGTGACAAGTGTCTGCTTCTGGATGCAGTGACAGGTGTCTGCTTCTGAATGCAAAGACAGGTGTCTGCTTCTGGATGCAGTGACAGGTGTTTGCTTCTGGATGCAGTGACATGTGTCTGCTTCTGGATGCAGTGACAAGTGTCTGCTTCTGGATGCAGTGACAAGTGTCTGCTTCTGGATGCAGTGACAAGTGTCTGCTTCTGGATGCAGTGACAGGTGTCTGCTTCTGAATGCAAAGACAGGTGTCTGCTTCTTGATGCAGTGACAGATGTTTGCTTCTGGATGCAGTGACAAGTGTCTGCTTTTGAATGCAAAGACAGGTGTCTGCTTCTGGATGCAAAGACAGGTGCCTGCTTCTGGATTCAAAGACAGGTGTTTGTTTCTGGAGGCAGTGACAGGTACAGATGTACTAGCTGATCTAGGTCTGCATTGATTGCATGAGTCTATTCAGTGGCCATTAGCAAGCTAAAAGTTAATAGCTTTATATTCTTTTAGATGCTGCAAAATTCAGACAGGTTTAAGGTAAATTATATTTACAGAAAAGTTTTATTTGTTATGCATATTTTGTTTATTATAGTTAAAAGTTAAACTGTTATTTAATTTGTTTTTATTGTGTCAAATTTTTAGCTCGACTATTAGATAAGAATAAGTAGAGCTATCTTAGTCACCAAGCGTCGGCATAACCCCTTATGTTAAAGTTTTTGTAACACCTCAAATATTATCCATTGACATATGGCTTTGAAACTTTGCACACTTGTTCATAATCATGCGCCCCAACCTGTAGACAGGAAGAGGTAACTCTATTAAGCATTTTGATAGAATTATGCGGATTTTATGCCCCTTTTTAGCTCGACTATACGAAGTATATGGAGAGCTGTCCTACTCGCCCCGGCGTCGGCGTCCGCGTCCAGATTTTAGATTAAAGTTTTGGTGCAGTAAAATATTTTTCACTATAACTTTGTCATTTCTTAAGGTATCAACTTCAAACTTCAAATATATGTTCCTTATCATCAACCACATCTTATGTGACAAGGTTCATAACTCTAGCACCAATATTTTCAGATTTATCTCCCCTTGAACTTAGAATTTTCCTTAAAAAATACTATTTTTTTACTGATTCTTCTTTATTTCTTAAGGGATCAACCTCATACTTCAAATATATGTACCTTATCATCATCCCCATCTTATGTGACAAGGTTCATAACTCTAGCACCAATATTTTCAGATTTTTCTCCCCTTGAACTTAGAATTTTCCTCAAAAAATACTATTTCTTACTGTTTCTTCTTTGTTTCTTAAGGGATCGACCTCATACTTCAAATATATTTACGTTATCATCATCCCCATCTTATGTGACAAGGTTCATAACTCTAGCACCAATATTTTCAGATTATCTCCCTTTGAACTTAGAATTTTCCATAAAAAATATTATTTTTTACTGTAACTTATTTATTTCTAAAGGGATCAACTTTATACTTCAAATATAATTACGTAATCATCATCCACATCTTACATGTATGTGACAAGGTTCATAACTCTAGCACCAATATTGCAAGAATTATCTCCCCATAAACTTAGATTTATTTACTAGAAAAATGTTATTTTTTATTTTAACTTTTTTATTTTTAAAGGTATCTACCTCAAACTTCAAATACTTATACCTTATCATTAATTACATTTTATGTGACAATGTTCATAACTCTTGAAGCAATATTTACAGATTTATCTCTCTTTGAACTTAGGATTTTCTTTAAGAAATATAATAACTTCTTTACTTTTTAAGGTATCTACTTCAAACTTCAAATATATATTTCTTATCATTACACAAATGTTGTGTGGCAAGATCCATAACTCTAGCATGACTTTTTCTATAATTATTCCCCTTGATCTTGGAATTTATGTTAACAAATGTTATTTTTTTACTATAACTTAATACGTAATTATACATAATTGATTTTTCTTTCATAGTTTTGTCCTCCTTACTGCGTCCAGTATTTTATTAGTCGAGCTTCGCTGTCTCCTGTGACAGCTCTTGTTTGACTAAAGTTTTCGTATCATTGACATCTTGCTTTGAAACAAGTTGAAATTTTATACACTTCTTTGTGAGCATTGTAGCACTTTCTTCAAGGCCTTTAACATGGATTTGAAAAAAAATTGGCCCTTTTGTGAACTTAGAAAATGGTACATTATCAAGACCCTTTTACTATCAAGCACTAAGAATAGTCGAGCATGCTGTCCTACCGACAGCTCTCGTTAGTATTGGCATATTTGAATTTTACTTTTAAAGAAGTTATAATTTTGTTTTATTATGCGAGTTATCTTGTTAAAAAGAGGGTTTTAAAATTGTTTGACATCTGATAACCTTATAAAAAGATTATTGTATAACTTAAAGGTTATTACTCATGTGACGTAGTGCTAATAATGTTCTCTATCTTTATTCTTTAAAGCCTTTTTGGTTTAAATGTTGGCCTTTTTGTAATGTTGACCTGTTATTTAAAAATAATTTATTTTCTAAATTATATTATATATTCAGTAATGACTGCTGTTTATATGCTCTCAGAAATCCTTTTCTCTTGATCTTATACCTGCCAGTATTAGTCCTTGGTGCTGACTTTCCATCACATATGCTTAAAATTTCTCATAGCACCTCCATTTAATACTGTTATCTTAAGGTTTCTTCAATCCATTACCATGACATCCGAATAAACATTGACCAAACTGTTTTTGGTTCGATTTATGTGAAGTCATTCTGTTACTGTGGTTCAACCAGTCTTAAACAGTCATTCCTTTGTTGCAAAATGTAACATATGCATATAACACAGAAACAAATGTACATGAATATTTGATCAGTTCCTTGACCTAAAATGCGTAACCAGACAAAATATTATTATAATATTGCAGTTGCTTTTAGATACTTGGTGAGTGTGTATCTGCTGTAGACATCTTTCTTTTTGTGGTGTTCAACATGAATTTGGTCATGGTCACTGAAGCTAAAAATAGATTTATATTCTCTCTCTCTCATAGTAGTTTTGTCAAAAGGACATCAGAGATTACCAATTACTATTATGAATGTTCTTATTCAACTAGGATGTATATTTTTGTTAAACTGTGTTTTAATATCTGATCTTTAAATTATTTACAGCTGTTAAAGAATCGGCATTTGATGGTACGAGTCGGCGGCGGTTGGGATACCTTGGAACACTACCTCATGAAGCATAACCCAGTCTTAGCAGTGGAGCATCGTCGTAGAAACAGTATAGACTACCTGGAGGGGGAAGATGTCTTAGAAGGGAAATTTTTATACATCAAATCAAAATACAAAACATGAAGTGGGGTTTTATTTTAGACTCAAAAGATCTTGTGATATTTTTTGTGTGCTTAACATTCCAAAACAAAGGGTAATAAGATATTTGAGATAATTATGCAATTTTGTTGTTATTGTTAGAAATGTTACGAATTTGTTATAGTTAATTCATATTCTAGGTTGTAAATGTATAATATTTTATGAAAGATTTGTTATTTGGAGCTCTGATTCTTTTTATAACAGTTATGATGTCAATTTATATTTAAAGGTTGTGATTTTTAACAAGTTACTTATTTTCAGGAATATTTTGTGCATGTTTGTTAGTTAAAATGAAATACTTATAGAAATACTGCCAAACTTATGAATATCAGAATTTACTTCAGGCAGATCATATCTTTTTACCTTTATGTTAGTGAAAGTGATTCTTTATTTTATATGTCAGTAACTGTTACAGATATTTTTTTTAAAAAAACATAAGCACAATTACTGAAGTTCCTGCAAGGCTGCAAAGATTGGCTTACTTGTTTGGTTTGTAATCGATGGTAATTTATTTACACCCACTTTTGACATAGCTTGGCTATATTTTTAACTTGTGCTGAAAAAGTAGATTTGTATCATCCAGCTGAGTTAAATGGTTAGAAAGTTATTCATTTTGTATCGTGTGTAAAATTCATATGATAAATATTATATTGAAGATGTTGCAGTGACAAAATATATGCATGTCATAAAACTACTAAAAATGATTTATTTAGAGAAATCGGCAGCTATTTATGTACATAGCAACTATATCTGAATGGGCTCTTACTGGTGCTGAATCTAAAATAATTGATATTAACAACTATCAAAGGTGTGTATGTTTCATAGGTGTGCAAGTTCATAGGTGTGTAAGTTTCATAGGTGGTTAAGATTGATCATTCATAGGTTAATAAAATTCATAGGTGTATAAGTTTCATAAGTATTTGCATGTATTTATAAATTGCATAGGTTAATAAGTTTCATTGGTGTATAAGTGATAAAACATAGAGAGATCTGTCATCATAAATACATATGAATATATATTTTGAGTTCAAAGTACAGTATTTATTTTTGGGGGTTTTGTTGTTGTAATTACTGTTTTAGTCACATTCCATCCACTTATTTATTTTACACGTATTGCTCATTGTGAAACACCCAAAATTCTATTCTTTTTTCAATATTATTATTTTGCTTCCTTTTGATCTGAATTCATCATACAATGTGTAAAAATATATTAACATTACCTCTGTACTGCTGTTCTTAATATTTCTTTGTAATAGTTTTATTTGTTAGAAAAATTGTTTCATGCTAGTGTTCAATATATAGTTAAATAAGTTTTTGATTTTTGTATTCTTTTCTTTTTTTGCATAATGCCATAATCTTTTGTGCAATTTTCTCAAACCTAGCTCAGAAATTAAAATTCTTCTGTAATTAGATGATAGTAAAGTAAAGTAGCTGTCTAACAGAAAAAAAAACAAAACAAAAATGTTGCATATTTATTCCCCTTATTGTGATAATAGGCCAAATTAGCATCAGTTCTTCTGCAAACAAAATGTGAGAAACAAAAAAAAGTGAGAAAGTATGATGAAATGTAATTGTAGATCAGTTCTAAATGTACCAATACAAGTTGTATGACAATCTAGGTATAATTGTAATATTTACCTCAACATTTTATATTTTCTTCATAGAGTAGTTGGTTCGAAGTGCTCAAATTTATCACTGGAAAATATTTTCCTACTGTTTTTACATTGTTGAATATGCATTTGTTGCATTTTGATTTCGTCAGTATTTATATTATTTTTTTACCATATACTGTGATGCCTTTAAAGTGTTGTTGTTATAAGTAGGTTGATCACATTGTAGTAGGTGCTATATTATAAATTAATATTATTATATATTTGTAGATTATAGGGAGTGGAAATGTGTTTAATTATTACATTATATTTTTGCATATATATTTTTTAAATTATTTGTTAGAATTAATTTCATATTTCTTTGGGGTGTTTTTTTTTCTTTTTTTTATTAGCTCACCTGAGCTTGCTCAGGGTGAGCTTTTAGAATCGATGAATGTCCGTCGTCCGTCCGGCCGTCCACAATTGCTTGTGAACACTCTAGCGGTCGCATTTTTGCCTCAATCATCATCAAACTTGGTCAGGATGCTTATCTAGTTGAAAGCTCGGATGAGTTCGAACATGGGTCATCTCAGATGAAAAACTAGGTCACAAGAGCTAAAAATAGAAAAACCTTGTGAACACTCTAGAGGTCACATTTTTGACCCAATCATCATCAAACTTGGTCAGGATGTTTGTCTAGGTGATAGCTCGGATGATTTAGAACATGGGTCATCTCGGATGAAAAAGTAGGTCACAGGAGCTATAAATAGAAAAACCTTGTGAACACTCTAGTGGTCACATTTTTGAACCAATCATCATCAAACTTGGTCAGAATGCTTGTCTAGTCAATTGCTTGGATGAGTTCGAACATGGGTCATCTCTGATGAAAAACTAGGTCACAGGAGCTAAAAATAGAAAAAACCTTGTGACCACTCTAGTGGTCACATTTTTGACCCAATCATCATCAAACTTTGTCAGGATTCTTGTTTAGATAATAGCTCGGATGAGTTCGAATATGGGTCATCTCGGATGAAAAACTAGGTCACCGGAGCTATAAATAGAAAAACCTTGTTAACACTCTAGCGGTCACATTTTTGCATCAATCATCATCAAACTTGGTCAGGATGCTTATCTAGTTGATAGCTTGGATGAGTTCGAACATGGGTCATCTCGGATGAAAAGTAGGTCACCGGAGCTAAAAATAGAAAAACCTTGTTAACACTTTAGCGGTCACATTTTTGCATCAATCATCATCAAACTTGATCAAGATGCTTGTCTAGGTAATAACTCCGATGAGTTCGAACATGGGTCATCTCGGATGAAAAAACTAGGTCACAGGAGCTAAAAATAGAAAAACCTTGTTAACACTCTAGTGGTCACAATTTTGACTCAATTGTCATCAAACTTGGTCAGGAAACTTGTCTAGGTCATTGCTGGGAATAAATCGAACATGGAACATCTCGGATGAAAAACTAGGTCACAGGAGCTAAAAATAGAAAAATCTTGTTAACACTCTAGTGGCTACTGTTGTGATCCAAATATTCTGTTAATTGGTCTGAAAGTTTGTTTTGATGATTTCTAAGTCAAGATCGAACATGGGTCATCTTGGATGAAAAACTAGGTCACACACGCCCAAATATGGAAAAACCTTGTTAACATTCTAGTGGTCACATTTTCGACTCCATTATCATCAAACTTGGTCAGAATGCTTGTCTAGGTAATTGCTTGGATGAGTTCGAAATCGCATGTGAATCTAGGTCACCGGAGCTAAAAATAGAAAAATCTTGTTAACACTCTAGTTGCTACTGTTTTGATCCAAGTATCCTGGAAATTGGTCTGAAAGTTTGTTTTGATGATTTCTAGGTCAAGTTTGAATATGTGTCACCTGGGTAAAAAACTAGGTCGCACTGCTCAAATATGGATAATCCTTGTTAACACTGTAGTGGTCACATTTTTGACTCACCTGTCATGAGACTTGGTCAGAATGCTTGTCTAGGTAATTGTTTGGATGAGTTTGATAATTCAGGTGAGCGATCTAGGGCCATCATGGCCCTCTTGTTTTTGGAGGGGGGATATTCATCCTTGAGATATTTACCATTTATCAACAAATACTAACTTCTCATACTGTAAATAATTCTGATTTATTCCAAATATTTGATAAGAACAATGAGTGAATCTGGTTTATTCCAAATATTTGAAGTTCTTATCTGTATTTATCTAAAAAAAAAATTTACGTGTCCCTCTTTTGTAAATGCATATGTGTTGGTGTGACTTACAACCCAACTGATACAGAAATGATTTTTTAAAAGGATGCTTTCTTACCAATATAATATACAAAATATCATTTAAAATTTTAGTTGAATTTTATGAAAAAAAATTTATATTATGTATCATAGTTGAACTATTACCAGTATTGTACTTGTTTTTTTCTTACTGCATATGACATTGATCATTATCTAGTTTTATGTTTGACTCATTTACTGTATATGTTTGTCCCAATATGTCTTTACTTTAAGCTTTCATCCCAGTGTGTCTTTACTTTGAGCATTTATCCAAGTGTGTCTTTACCTTGGCATTTTTCCCAATATGTGCATAATTTCTTTTGTTTTTTTTCTGCTCAGTATTATGAATTCTATTTTACCTTATTTTCATGCTCCCTAAATTTTTTCAGTGATGCATATAGTTGCCAGTTTCATTTTCCTACCATCACACTTGTCTACTGTTTCCCTCAGCCTCTTGATAATGTCATAACTTACTTATTTAGCCTGTTAGTGACTATAATGGAACCTCAGCTAAAATATTTAGTGTCTTGCTACCTTATTTAGACCTCTGTCCCTAGGCGATGTATCAGATGTCTGGGATTATGTCTCATGGTCAAGGTCACTAAGGCTAAAAATAGACAGCCTGCTTTTTCAAGTAGTAAGGCTTTTGCATCTGGTATTTATGTTTTAAAGTGTTCTATATTTTCAAATTTGCATTTTCCGTCTGTTTTTTTATATGAAGTCATTTATCCATTATATATTTGTTATTATATAATTTACAATGTTTTTGTTCAGTTAACCAAGATAGGTTATAACAAATTGTTAGTTATGTTTCTTTTTTCAATGATACTTGAATTTTTCTTGTTCTTAAAGAATAACAAAAATGTTGTATAACTAGTACACAGTAATCACTCCAAGTGTTTGTCTATGCTCAAAAGTTTGTTGCTTTCAAACTTTCTTTCCTAGCATAATTTTGAAACTAGTTATCATTCTTTATATATTTTGGTGTTGTACTGTTAATGAAGACTTTAATAGTTTAATTCATGCAATAAAATGTTCCTTTTTAGATCTTATATGTTTTGTTTTTTTATAAACCCCATGGCTGTATTACTTTTTAAAGCACAATAGTGGCTCTTTCATTGATAACTTCCATATACCAAAGCAGTTTAATTCATGAACAAATATACCATTAGATGCGGAAAGTAAAAGCTGAATGCTGGTTTAAAACCAGTAAACCAAGTAGAGAATGCCTTGGAACCTACTACGCCTCATATCAACATATATAACTATGGAAGGTGTACAAAAACTGTGAAAAACCATAATCCAAATAAGGTGTTGGGGGGGCCCTGATCGGTTAACTCTACCTATTTATCTTCCAATAATGCCAAACCCTTGCGTGGACGTAGACATGACTCTAGATTTCAGAGACAGCTATGTGATACAAGGGAATCTGGGAACAAGTCCCTAGCTCTTATTGAATAGACCCCTTGAATCTTTTACATGCCCAGTGTATAGCACTGATACATGAGAGATTATCTGGATTTCTTACCAGTACACCTCTAGGTAGGTGGGAAACATTGAAAGTGTCTCTTGAAAAATCCCAAGGGTGCGACCAAGGATCAAGCCTGGGACCTCAGGAGTGACAGTCAGTGGTCAACTGAGCTATCACTCCACCTTAGAAATTAATTAAAACGGGTATTTGTGTTTGAGGACTATGAAATTCAAACTGATCTTCATAATTCTAGAGAAATAGGAAACAAACAAATCCCTGATTGTAACAAGGTTACTGATATCAATAACACAGATTATAGAGATACCCATGTACATAATTTCAACTAACCATTAAGTTAAATTACATTTAAAAAATTTAAATTTAAAAAAACAATGCAGCCCCTAATGAGAAAAAATTTAAGTAAGTGTAATTTCTTTATCAATGCATACATCATGTCTACATATTAGTAAAGGAGTGCTTAGTCATTTCATAAGGAAAAAACTATATTGTTTGTTTGGGGGTGGTTTTTTTTGTTTTTTTAATAAATGCGGGAATATATTTAGTAGTGCAATACCGTCTATTTAATTGTAAATCTCATTAATGTTTATTACAACGTTGACCGATAGTAATGTCAACTTCCGCCCACTGGCAAAACCTTAAAAAATTATTAACCTTGTATTTGTCATTGTTTATATGGTAGAAACGTGTAGGGTTTTAACAATCATTTGTTTACACATTGTTTTTTGCTCATACAAAGTTTGACACTGTTACGCGTTTTATGTCAGTCAAAAACGGCTGGTCAATTTTGGAATACGTTTTTTCTGATGTTTAGTAGTTTACACACTTGACAGTTGACAGGTCAAAACTGAATCAGTGAATACTTTCTTGATTCATCATTCAAAATATCACTCATGAATATTTAGAAACAACACTTGCAAAATGGCTGAAAATGGTCGGCCTTCCCAACTGGAATTTCAAGAAAGTATAGATGCAGAAAGTCTAGGTAAACAGATTGCTTGTTATAATTTGAGTTAGTTAAAATAATATGAAAACTTTGGCAAAGCATCAAAGTGAGCTCGATTTACTTTTACCATGAAATAGTATAAAATAATTGTTCATTTTTATTTTACATTTTCTGTTTTAAAACTGTCATTCTATATTTCATACAGATTACAGTGCGTCCGTTTATTCTGGTTCCCTGTAAAACTGTCATTCTATATTTTATACAGATTACAGTGCGTCCGTTTATTCTGGTTCCCTGTCCTATTATGCCAATCTATGGTTCCAATGAAAGTGCGCAGGATACCAGTTTACGCATCTGTTTTCAAACAGAAAACCTCGGCTTTTATCGTTATCTTGTAATTCAAAAAGTTGCGATGTGTCAATTCAGTACTTCCGACGAAAGTTTTCAAAACCATCACATATCTAGCAGCTGGTACTCACGTTACCGTAAAGCCCTTTAGGGCAGCTCTTCAAGCTCGCTTTTGAATTATTTTCCACTGACTTTTACTATAAACCGTGATTGTAGCCAGCTACAGGTGCATGCAAAAGATAATATGAATTTAGGCAAAGCCTATGAACTGGTTAAAAAATAGTTTCTGTTTTAAAGGTGTCATTCGGTATTTTATCCACCGCTTCAATTTTCAGTCGGAATACTCACTGATTATTATTAATTTAAAAAGTTGCAATTGTTAGTTATCCAATACCCTGCCTATTATCATTCAGTTACATTGAAAATGGCGGCTCCCAACTAGAGCTAACACTGGAATTTTATTGATAAGTCTATGTACCTACCTCTATGTACCTCCCTGTGATGGGTTAGACATTATTGGTAGTTATCTGCATGCTTTGACAACATATAAATCTTTATAATTCGTTTGACATTAGAGGCAAAAAAAATCAAGTACATTGTGTAGTGCCAAAAGACTGCTTCCTGAGTTTCCTGAATCATCAGTAATCACACCACCAGTGTGTATTTCAGTTCTAAGTCAACTTTTTAAGAGAATCTCACCACATGAAAGATTTAAGTCAACAACTTCATGCTATATCCCTACTCCACTTTTCCTTAGTAAGAAAAATGGAAGTCATGAAGTTGATACAAATCCCTTTTTGTGCTTTTGAGAAAATGGACCTTATTTCACTGGAAGTATCCAACGACCATAACTGCCATTGTTTTATACTGTTAAACTTTTTATTTAGAGTTATTGAACATGTATGATTTAGTGTTGTTTTCAGATGTAAACAAGTATAACACTCATATATACAAACTTGACTACAAAATAACTTTTGTCCAGATTTTTTTTTATATTAGAAATTTTTACATACAATCCAGTCATACATGTTCTATTTCTTAAATAATCAGTTGAAAATTTTAGCCTAATATATCGTACACCACAGTCTACTTCATGTGACCTGTGCGATATTTTTTAATTTAGACTGGGCATTTTTCTATCCAAAATTTGAAGGTTTTGTCATGATATTTGATGCAACTTACTTGAGTAATGGATCAGATTACTTAAAATACATGTATACTGTAAGTTTATGCTATTATTTCAGAGACACCAGCCTCTGATTTTCAAGATCCTGAATATGAGTTTGATGAAGATGGGCTTGATTTAGCTGCTAAAGAAGGTAATATTTAAAGTTTCCATACTGAAACTTATATATTTATTTTACGGCCCAGAATGCCTCAGAAATGCATCCTTTTTATTTCTTCAAACATTTTTATTTTTGATATCATGTTACAGTTTCTAAAGAGACATCATTTGCCATATACATGAACTATATTTTACTCTGTTGATTATTAGTATATTATTAGTGAATTAGTATTTTGTTTGGAAGTCAAAATACTTGTTTACATTTTGCTACCTTAATGTCACATTACTGCACGTTCAGCACTAAAGTCTACTTACTTAAGTTGTTAAACATCTATCTTGCTCTTAATTTATAATTAAAACATTGTACAAGACATGTTTAACATTCCTAAAGAATTTTTGAAAAATGGATTTCTGAGGCATAATGTGCCATTCAGTTTCATAGTTGTTTGATAATGCATGTATAAATAAAATGAAATTTTTAATGAAATGAAAATATAATTGTAATCTCATTACTGTTGTTTATTGAAAAAAATTCAGATTTTTTTTTACCTGACCTGTTTCTCAATGTTATTTGTACAGAGTGCATTTTATTATTAAGTTTTGCATTTTATTATTAAGTTTTACGTTATTATTAGCCTTCTAAAGTTCTTTTTGCATGCTTAAATCATGTGATTTTATAGTAGATTGTAAAGTTTGTCATGTTCTGGTCAATGCAGGTACTAAGATTATCAAAATAAGTTATTACTGTTAGTATTTTGACAGTAAAAGTAACCTTTATGACAGGATTCCTTAAATGTTTCATTAGGATTCCTTAAATGTTTCATTGAAAGTGAATCCCTACAACGTTTCAGTTTGTTATGTTCCTATATCTAATTATGTAGTATAGCATAAATTAATAGTCCTTGATTTAAGATAAAATATGTATTATGCATGTTTCATATTATTTGTGTAAAGTTTCAGCATATTTGATATAGATATTTTTAGTGGTTTTATTTACATGATTTGTGCATTTTTGAATTGTTTTCCATGCAGCAGAGTTAGACATCGAGGCAGAATTAGAAGGTATACATTTACAATCATGCATGGTTCTGTCCTAACTCAAGTTTCAGAAAGAGGCATGAAGACTTAATGACAAGATTATCTCCCTTTAATAATTTTTTCCTCTGACTCAAAGACTTTTTTCATTCTAAAAGTAATAAGGTAATCATATCTTCCCGATAAGTTTGATTTTCACTGACTTTAAGACTTTTTTCATTCTAAAAGTAATAAGTTGATCATATTTTCGCAGAAAAATTGATTTTAAGGATGTTCTTGCCTTAGGTATTGTATTTAATAGTTGAAAGGTGATATGCTGAAATTTTTAACCTATTATGACCTAGGAAACTCTGTCGTCTGAGCATAACCATTAAGTTTAATGTCTCAAAAAAGAGAAAAGGGAGGTAATCTTTAAGTCATTTTAAGGTTTTGGACCCCTTAACAACATGTTGCTATTTCTGGTAATATATGTTTTGTGTCAGAATGCCTATTTTATTTAATAAAAGGATAGCTTTTAAGGCAAGGGTTCAAAATATGTAACAATAGGAATTGCTAAATGATTTGAGAAAGAATATACTTGCATTCCAGATTAATGCATACTGAAGATACTGAATGAATATCACGCATTTTAAAATTAAAAAAAAATGTCTTTGGTCAGTACAGGTATTAAGATTATGACAAAAAAACTGTTTTTATAATTATATGTGGTATGATTTTTTTAGGTAGTCCAAAATAGATATTATTTCACCAGTATTATTGGATGTAGTACTGTTCACAAGTTATTGTTTATTGTACTTGCTGTTAATGATAGAATGTCTCACACTAAACACAGTCTAGCCATTTGTATTGCTTCTTTTTGAGAAATACATCTTGAGGTACGCAGAAAAAAAATGTAATCTGAATTGAAATATACCTCTATCAGGGTCATATTCATGCATCACTGTGGCGATATAATATAAATTTTGCAGTGAGTAATTAGAAAATCATCATATGATTGAAGGTTAGGTGATATTTCATCTCTGAGTGATATCATCATTCATTAACGATAAGTGCTTCATCGATAGCTGAAACTACCATATTAGTTTTCAAGAACCATACTAGTTTAAATCACCATTATTGAAATTTTAGGTTAATTTTGGTTATCATAGACACACATATTCCTGTACTGGAAAGAATTTTGTATCATATTCAAAATGTTACTCATGATCTTTGAGTTGACAGTCCTTTTTTAAGGCCAATTTAGGGCTGAAATTTGGCCCCATTCCCTTACCAAATTTCTAAACAAAATCCCTTCCAAGAGTAAAAAAATATAAATGTATATTTTTATTGATAATGCATGTAGGGGCACTTGAAGTCTTCTCCACCAGTAAAAGATGGAAATTCTCCATATGACCATGATAAATTTGTTTGTGTGATGTTTCATCAGCTGAAAATGTTAACAGTAAGACACTTTTCAGTTCAAGTATTTTTTATTTTGAAATTCTTGGAAGTACTTAACACAGGACAGTACCAAATGTAAAAATCAAGATAAGTCCATTGTATAAATTGTGACTTGTCACATGATAAGGGTGAACATATGCCCAGTTTAATGAAGTCATTGCATGTATGTGGTTTACCACAAAATCAACATCATCTTTAAACAGAACATGGGGAAGTTTGTATAAAGAATGATGTAATATTTATACCAACGTTTAAGTGGACTATTGTTATTAATGAATTGTAACTCCACTTATAATCAGGAAGTGAGCTCAGCCGACTTAAAAGCAATAAGACAGATGAAAGGTTATCTAAGTGTCAATCGTTAAAAGTTACTGAATGATATTGTTTGTGTACGTGTAAGTATGCATTCACTGGAAAACAGTGTCACATAGAAATGTTTTTAAAGTCCAATGTCTGTTAGTTTCTATTTTAAGAACCCCAGTTTGTCAAAGGCTTGAACCTATTAGTTGAGTTCCTTTAAAAGATATTTGTACAAGTATAATAAACCTTTCTATTAAATTAAAGTTTATCAAAAATCAAAATAAAATGCTACATTATATTAGCTGAGAATTGCGTGCAAAATTTTAAATAATGCCACAAAATGCAAGACAAATCATTATTTCAGATTTCATATTGATTATTGGTACATAAAGATGCATGAGAAATTTCAGTTTCATTTAAGATTTTGTGATTTTTAGCTCGACTTTTCTATGAAAAGGGGAGCTATCCTACTCGCCCCGGCGTCGGCGTCGGCGTTAGCGTTGGCGTCACACCTTGGTTAAGTTTTTCGTACCACCCCACTTTATTTCAGAAGTATTACAAGTATGGCTTTGAAACTTACCATACTTGTTCACCATCATAACCTCCATCTACAGACAAGAGTACATAACTCTGTCAAGGTTTTTGACAGAATTATGGCCCTTTTTTGACTTAGAAAGTGTATTGAGCTTGGTTAAGTTTTTTGTACCACCTCACTTTATTTCAAAACCATTGGAGGTATTGCTTTGAAACTGACCATACTTGTTTACCATCACGACCTTCATCAACAGACAAGAGGACATAACTCTGTCAAGGTTTTTGACAGAATTATGCCCCTTTTTGACTTAGAAAATACATTGAATATGGGTAAAATCCACTTATTGCCTTAACCCTTTGAGATATTGCTTTGAAACTTTTAATGCTATTTCACATCATTACCCCCATCTGTACGCAAGAGAAGGTAACTCTGTCAAGGATTTGTTTTAAAAATTAAGGCCTTTTATCGACTTAGAATCTTGGTTAAGTTTTTTAGTACCAGTCCACTTTTTGACTGAACTGTTTGAGATATTAATTTGAAAGTTGGAATACTTGTTTACCATCATGGTCCCAAAACATGGGCAGGAGAAGGTAATTCTGTTAAGGATTTTATTTGAATTATGGCCCTTTTTGACTTAGAAACTCAGTTAAGATTTTCATTCTTGTCCACTTGTTGACTTAACCATTTGAGATATTACTTTGGAAGTTGGAGTTCTTATGTGCCATCATGAGACCTATCTGTAAGCAAGAGAAGATAACTCTGTGAAAATGTTTCTTGATTTGTACTTAGAAATTCCTAGTTAAAGTCTTGTGTGCCCTTAACTGTCAAAGTTTTGTTTTATAGGCAAGCACTAAAAAAGTCGAGCGCGCTGTCCTTCTGACAGCTCTTGTCTTGTTTACCCTTGCATAAATGCATCAATGTGTGTACGAGAAATACAGCATTTTGATAGCAAATCAATATTAGATGCATGCTTAATGAGGCACGTTAGAATGAGCAGATGTTTTTGGTATTTTGACCGTTTTTCAAAGCTTTTCCTGCATTTGGAATAACACTTTTTCCATCCTGGATTATGGTCTATTCTTATACAAATTACCCTGTTGCTTGATAATTTAACCAGTTTGAAATAGCATGAAAAACTAGGAAAAGACAGTGGGTTTCATTCTGAGATTTTGTAAGATTAGCTTATTATATTATGAGATTTTGTGAAATTAGTTTATTTTGAGATTTTGTGAGATTATGTTAGATTATCATTATATTTATAATTGAATTGTCTATTTGTTATGAGGTTAATGTTGCACTTCCTTGTAAATTTTCCATTGAGGAGTTCAATGTGAAAACATTCTAAATCATACGTTTTCGTTATAGCAAGAGACTGAAAAAATTCGGCTGGTATAGATTTTTAGCCCTAAATTGATGATGAAGTATGTAGTCATTTAGTGTGTCCAACTGACAGTCAGTCTGTGGCAAATTTCTCTGGTCTGTGACAAAAGAGTTACTTGTAGATATACACTGGCACAAGCCATTGCCTTTAGACAGTTTGTTAAACTTTTGACTCTGCCCTTCTGTGACATTCACAGCATTATTTTGAGGTCATCTGTATATTTGACATGTCAAGTTACACCCCAAAGGTCAAGTTTTGAAATAAAAAAAATGTCAAGGTCACTCTATGAAGGTCAAAAACAATGTTTAGAGTAGTAAATGAAATATCTTCTAATTACTTACAGTGAAGGTTGGTTATGATGAAATACTTGAATTTTAAGCAAATTTTAAAAGTCATGATGTCATAAAATAGGTCAAGGTCAGATATAATGACCTCATCCAGTTTGCAATTGGCAGCATCATTCTAGTACATGTACATGTTTAATAAATCATCTTTGTTTTTTTATGATGTAACATTAGAAATATTATTAAAATTAGAAAGGCAATTTTGAATATTTGTTTTTATTTGAAATCTTCAGTTTCTTTATCTTTTTAATTTAGCATGTTGCACAATTTGTTTATTGTTATTTTGTTTAGCTTATTATTTTACATAAAAATTGCATGCTTCTGTGTTTTTTATCAAGGGGAGGTAAGAAGTGGTGAAACAAACTCCCATCAGACCCCAGTGTTGCACTGGGACATAGGCACAGGTAAACCAGTACATGCCAACTAGGCATGTTATAATAATAATAGAAGTTATGCTAACTTAATGTTTATGTGGGCATATATGCAACAGGTACAGTCCGATTCTTGTGTATTGGCCATTGAAAAATTAAAATGAATAGAAAAAAAAATAGATAAAATGAGATGTGATTTATGTTATAAGATCTTGTACAAAAGACCTGTCATCAAACAAAACTTTTGTTTTAAAACCATGGTAAGTTAAAGTACATCAGTACCACACATTAGTAAAAGTTTTCTTACCATCTGACTTTCCACTGAAGTAATTAGAGTATGTATATTGCAAATGCGTTATTATGTACTAATATCTGGGAGAAAGTAATCCCTAGGAAGCATTAAAAAACAGTAAAACTACTAGTCGATTATTTTGGCCTGTTGACAGCTTTTGTAATCTTTTTAAAGTGAAGAACAGGATGTTCATGGAGACCATTTATGATATACATAAAAAACATTTTTAGACAGGCTTGTATAATTATGGTACATGCATATTTCATTGAAATTTAACTTGAAAAAAGTTTATCACTTACATTTTTGGCCTTTTCCAAACTGAAATCTGGTATTTAGAATTGGTTTTGTTCAAGATAATGAGCTTGTACTGTGTTGGAAATATGCTCACACATCACAAAATACTGATATTATATTATATTTCTACTGTCTAGTTATATTTCACTGATTGATGTGCATGTGTGCTAATAGAATAACCAGTTAACTTACATTAATATTTCACCTTTTTTATGACAACATGTATATCATTCAACTTTTTGAATGCTTAGAGACTGTAATGATTTGCCTATGTCACAAGTATAGTCTAGTCAGCCTACACTTTCATACATTCTCAGGCAAGACATAATACTGTACAAGAAGGTTGCTTAAATTAAGTATTATGGTAGCAAATTCCCTGAATTAATACTTACTTAAAGCAAATAATAAATGATAAACATTGAATTTTTGCATTTTTTATTGATACAACCTGAGACATGCTATACTGGTACAAGCAACTACAAATAAGCTAAGTCTTAGTAAGTGTCTAATTTACAGCCAGTTGATAGATAAGCGTGCTGTTTAAATCATATACTAATGCACGTTTTATTAAAAAATTTATGATTACTGTCCATAATATCATATTAGAAATTGTATGTTGTAAATACAAGAGGACTGTTAAAATCTTACATTAGTTTGTTCAAATTTTTTATTACACTGTTTACTATATTCTTCTGACAAACAAATACCAATTTACAATCAAAGAAATGACAAAATAGAGGCACATGCGCCTGATTGGACGAAAAATACAACATATTGGTAATCTGCAGTTGTTTGTCCTTTTGTATTATGTTCAAGACACAATGTACAACACCATAATCATGTTATTTAGGAATTATTCCACATCAGAAATAGAAATAAAATACAAAGTAAGCAAGAATAAAACAGAAATAAATCACCCTTAACTGTGGTAACTGCTGTTAGGCAAGATCTTGTTTAAGAAACTTGAATAGAACAATTTTATTTCAATTTTAGAGGGTTTTCTTTATATTTATATTGAGAATTTTAAACATTTCAAAATAGGTGGTTCCTAAAACTTGTAGCACTAATATAATGAAATGTTGACAATGGAGTCTTAACTGTCTTTATGCCTTGGAAGCACAGAAAATTGATCATATAAGGTTTTTTTTAAAATGAAATATAAAATTGACATTTTAGTTGTCCAAAACCAGGATGTATAATTAATCAAGAAGTGCATTAATTAAAGACATTACGTTAGTGCAAATTAGTTTCTGTAAGCATGCACTTTGCAAAACTGCATGGTATTACCCATTTCTGTAAAGCATCATGATCAGGTTTACCATTTCTGTTCTTGTGTTTTGCTAATTGTATAGTTAGAAAATATGGATGGAAATCTGCTTTACTATAACACTTAGCATGCCGATGTCAAAACTGAATATACCAGTATCTGACTAGGGCAGGTTAATATCAGCTGGCACATCTTTGACATCTGATCATGGTTCCACTGTTCGCTATTCAGTTTGCTATTTGTTTTGAAATTTTCCCTAAAAAAGATAAATGGTTGTGTCCAGATTGCATGATGGACAAATCCATTTATAATGTTTAGCTTTTTAAGTAAGGGCCAAGATTTAGAATAATTTAAAAGTGTAGTTACCATGATTAGTTTCTTGATGACATGATCTTATTTCTTAAGGTTTATCCAAGACTACAAATTTTGACTCTGAATGCGATATGACCTATACTGTGTCGATGTGACGTAAAACCCAAAACAAACAAACAAACAAAAACATCAATGTCTCACTTAAGTTTTTCCTTTCTTCAAGTGTTGTCTAACAACATAACAGAAATGAATGCTGGGAAATAATTGTGTTATGATTAATTAATTGATTGATTAATTGCTTATTGATTTTGCTTAATGCTTAACAATTTAGTATATAAACAACAATGCTTTTCACAGTTTATTTAATGCATTTCAAAGTATTTATTGCATACGCAAGTGACATATCTGGGTAGAATATGTTATTTATATTACATTTTATATTATCTGTGTATCATTTTGTAACTTTTAGCTTTGTCTTACAGAATATATTATAATTTATTAGTATATTATTTATTATATGAGAGTATTAATAACTTAATCAGAGAAATGTGAATATATGCAGTCTAACATTTACTATATGATATAGCACTTTTTTCACGAAGTATTAAAACAACTCTTTATGTTTGTGCAGATTTGCGGCACACACTTTCACACTTTTCTATGCTGCAGTACATTTCAGATAGCTTAATTTTATTTTACAATTCCGATGTTCTCTGCGTATAATGAAGTTGCTATTTTAATCATAATATTTTAAATGTAAGGAAATCCCAAAGGGAGTTTTGCCTATTGCTTTCTGCTTGTGCAACAAATAATGTATCCTATGGGATAAAACTGAATCTGAATTTCATTATTAATTGATAAATAGATGTGCTTGTTTGGAGTGACTGTGGAAATTTTGCTTTTGATATTGAACCCCCTTGATCTTACATTATACTGATCCATATTCAAAGGAAGGCAAGTCCATCATACAAATTTAGTGTTTTTAGTTTGTTTTGAAGAAAAACTCAAGCTATTTTGATTGCTGTGGCAATAGTGGCCTTGTTGGTGTGCAAAAACTTTAATGTAGCCCATTGTTCAAACATTTTAAAAAGTATCAACCTGAAACCTGGAATACTTGCTTATCAAGGTGCAGTTGTTAGACAAGCGGCATAATTTTGAAAAAGTATATTGGGAGTTATGCCCCTTTTTAACTAAGAATTTTTAACAGATGACTGTTAACTCTGAATGCATTGTTATGCAAGTGCTTTGCAGGCTATATTATGAAAACACAGCTCTGAAGTAATAATAATTAACGTTTTTAAATTTTGTCTTAAAATTTTTATAGCATGTGAGCAAAGTTGTTTGTGAAAGAAAATTGAATTTAATTAATTCAACAGTTAAATAAATTATAAAAGAACATTTATACCAGATTATATGTAAAAGAACAACATGTTCCACTTTATTTATTTAGTTCATCTCATCAAAATATCTTGCATAAAATTTTGATGTGATTTGATATTTGCAGCTATTGCATTCTTCCATTTAGCATACTGGCTGAAAGAACTAATGCAGAAGTGTGATTTTGTATAATTGTATTTAATGAATTTTTGAGAATTGTTTTCGATACATAAAGTTTTTCTAGCAAATTTTATTTTTTAAGAAACAAAATGATTTTATATTAAGTTATGATAGAAAATTTAACGATACAGTATGATTTCAGAGTTGTCTCGTAATAGTTCGGAAGGATGTGCTCCATTCAGAAGTGGTTCTATCACGCCAGATGGTCTGATTGACGAGGATTTCGAGGAGGAAATTGGACAACCTATCGTAAGATTTCAATTGTATTGAATTTGCTGATTAAAATGATGAGAAAATAAATGAGCCTTGCATGACAAAACCAACATAATGCGTTTTCGACCAGCATGGATCCAGACCAGCCTGCGCATCTGTGCAGTCTGATCAGGATCCATGCTGTTCGCTATCAGTTTCTCTATTTGTAATAGAGTTTGTAAGAGAATAGCATGGATCCTGATCAGACTGCGCGGATGCGGTCGCAAACCCTTTATGTTGGTTTTGTCATGATGCGGCTCATATGATGTAATTTTAGAAATGTTATGGATGACTCTGTGCTCTTTCTGCAGTTTATGTAGAATCTAAAGTCTTTCTTATTTAACCATGCTATTATTTGAGTCATGGTATTTGTTAAGTTGTGCATGATATTTTGTTTAAGTGTGCACATAACTGAATATTTCCTGAATATAATGGGGAATGGCCACATTAAACGAAACACTGAAAAATACATTTCTATTTTAGCCTGCTTTCTAAATTTAAATCTCAACCAATGACGCCCCCCCCCCCCATCCACCCCACCTCCACTCTCAAAAAAAAAGTAAATTATAAACAACAAACAAAAATAACTTGCACTGGCAGACTAATGATAAATCAAACAGAATTAATGATCTTCCGATATTAATCATTATAAATTGTAATTTATATTACCATAGCTACAACTTCATCAAATGTATATTGTAATGACAAAGTAAAAGGATAAATAAACAGCTGCCAACAGACCTAGAAAGTCTCTGGAGGGGGAAAAAAGCTAAAAAAAAAAAAAATCGGTAGCAATTTACCCAGTATACTCAAGACATATACTCAATCATTATACTGTACGATGCTAATTGTAAAACCAGTGCTTTAATGTAATGAATCATGGCCGCCTTTTCATACGTCAATCAATACTGGTGGCGAATAATAGCTGAATAGTGTTAGATAGAGATTTCCAAGCAATTGACTTTGATATTCATGTATATAAATGTACATGAGTAGATAATGTAATGTATATTAATAGATAAAAGATAGTATTAAGTGTTTAATTTTATATAAGTTTTAGTAAGTGTGGCCTTGATATGAAAGTCTATATAGGGGGAGGCGATGGCCTAGTGGTTAAGGTGTCTGCCTCTCAACCGAGTCCAAATCAGGTCACAACCATGTTTCTTCATATGACATGATTACTGGTTGGTTCCAGGAAGCGGGCTCATAAGTAATTTATATAAGTTGCAAGAACTTAATAGGTAATCGAGCTTAAATAAATATGTTTAAACTAAGTCTATTTAACTTGTTGTAAAGTATGGTTGTTACATGTAAGTGCAGTTTTGTGTAAAGATTTTTATCTATTCTATTTAAGAAGGTTTAATGTATCCGGTTTAAGAAGGCATATCTGTTTTCTTTTATTGTTTGAGGTCTTACGGTTTTATAGCAGGGATAATTTTAATATGGCGTCTATATTTTATGTAAGTCAAAGTGTTATTTTACATAACATTTTAATATGAAAAACATAGATTTGTGATAAATGAAAAAAATCTTTATCTATTTATATTATATTTACATAATAATATATGATAGATTACTTTGATATATATAGCTTACGGAACGTCGGTGGTTCTACTCAGGTACCTGTTCGTGCCTGAAATAATGCACGGAAGGGCACCTGAGTTCTTCCTCTACCAGTAAAGCTGGAACGTCGCAATATAAATATACTGTGTTGATGTGACGTAAAACCCAAAACAAACAAAACAAAACTTTGATAGACTGATTCCTTAAAAAATGTCATTTCAATCAGGAAGCTTAAAGGGATTGATGTTTTATAAGAAATGAAATCTCATACAGTTTGAAATCAAAACTTCTTTACTTATTTAGCACAATAAATTTTGTTGAAGGCAGAAATAATAGTGATGTAAAATGATTTTGCTTTCATAAAAAAAAGATTTTTTGAACATTCTTTTTAATTACTTCCCTTTTCTTACCTAAAAGATAAAAATTTGTTCAGATTAAAAAATTGACAAACTCCATTTATTACTGCTTTAATTACATGTTAACTCATCCAGTATTGTTGTTCCTCATTTTAGTTTATTTATTTGTATATGTATGTACAATTTAATGAATAAAGATAAGATTAAACCCAAAAAGTGTATAAGATTTGAAGTACATGGAATAGAGTACAGTGTATGAGTGGTAGTACTTTTTTGTTTGATTTATAGATAAGGTGAAAGGTCTTGTGTGATTAAAGGTACATGCCTGAGCAAGAATTCTTTTTTTCCATCTTTAGAAAGGGTACACATGAGTTTTACAACTTTAAAATAAAAATTGTTTGAGAGTATGTTTGATGTTTGTTACCTGAATAAGATAGCGTGTAATATGAAATTATATGTCATAAAAGTAGCAAAATGTAACAGTTTGACTTCCATATAAAATATTTAATCACTATATCTGCACTAACTGCCAAAATGCAACAGAAGCACAAAAAATAGTTGAGATAATTGGCTAAAATTAAACAGAATACCAAAAACAAAAAGCTTTCAACGCTATAAAAAATAAAGCATTTTTGGATATAATGGGCCTTTAATAAATAAGGTAAAACATAATTCCTGTTTGAGTGATTAATAAGGTAATAAGATCAACAAAGGTCTTGTTTGTTTCGATTGATTGATTGATTGATTGATTGATTGATTGATTGATACATTGATTGATTGGATGATTGATTGATTGATTGATAAGGACATAAGAAAATCTTGTTTGAAAAGAAAGAAAATGGTGAAACATTATTGTTCATTGTAAAATCAAGTGAAACAAAGTTATAATTTGATAAATCCATATTGGATTCAAATTTAATCACAGAGGTCTGTTCCGTTAACCTGTCTAAAGAAAAAACACTTTCAGCTGATGCAAGCGTTTACCATAACAAATCTATATTTATCAACTGTGTTGCCAATAGTGGATTTTGCTGTATTCTAAGTTCCTATTCCATGTCTGTGTGCAAGAAGATTTTATCCAAAGCGTTCTATTTGAAATTTTAAATATTTTGTGCGCCCCCTTATTTCAACTTATCAAATGTGTTTTATTTATTGATATATAACAGGATGAGGATGAGGCCGAGGCTGGGGATTATCATGACATTGCTAGACATGGCATCATTGAGGTGGCGGGCGATGATGTATACGGCAGGAAGGTTATTGTGTTCTCTGCTTGTAAATTACCTCCAAAAACAGAACTAAATCACCAAAGATTATTTGAGTAAGTCGAATCATATTGTTTCACACTTTAGTCTTAAACAAAACACAATCATCACATAATACAATACACATCATGTTGTGGCATAAGGCTCGTAATTAAATATGTATCACAGAATACAACTATGGAATAAAAGACAGAATTAACCATTAGAACTTTATTACAACTTTGTTACTTAGAAACAATGTTAAAATTAATTTAAGAAAACAATCAAACAAGCAGATATGTACAATGGGTACATGAATCTTTGAACATTGATTGATAAACCTGAACATTGATTATTTGTTTCATTTTTCCTGTTTTAGCGCCATATGACCTTAATTGTGTTGGTGGGCCAATCAGAAACCAAACAAACAAACAAAATTGATTATATGTTATTTTATTATACATGTATGTCTGTGTATGTATAGGTTTATGAAGATGACATTGGACCAGTATGTAGAGATGGATTATGTAATAGTGTATTTCCATCACGGCATGACGAGTAAAAACAAACCAAAGTTGTCCTGGATGGTACAAGTATATAGGGAACTAGACAGAAAGTAAGTCACCTACACGTCTCTAATAATAATAATATATAAATTGTCAGAAATTAAAAGGAGCATCCATTGGCTTTAAACCACTTGCCTCTCACTGGTGTATTTTCGAGCCGCGCAAGTGTGTCGGATTCAACATGTGATAAAGCTATCAAGCTAGCTTAGGAAAATGTCAGTGGTTCTACTCAAGTGCCCATTAGTGCCTGAAAGGTTTGATTTGATTTAATCATATTTTATTGCTTGAAACATGTACATGTAACATAGAGATTACATTAATACTAAACAGAATACAATAAATACGAATAAGGAAACATGTATGTTAACAGTTTGAAGCAAATGGGTTGGGCCACAAGTTTTACCAACATTAATGAAGGCCCTTCCCAGGCAAGTTTAAATAACAAAATGTTCATTATAAAGATACAAAACTTGTTTACGTAATTAATGTGTTAGGCGAAGAAACAAGAAAATATATGTTTTTTGCGCATCATCAGAGTAATATTTACAGTTTGCTTCTATATATATCTATATTGATATAAAAGTATTTAGATGACAATATTATGAGAAAAAAAAAACAACAACAAAAAAAAATTGATATGAGGTTTAAATATCATGAAATAGAAAAAAAAATAAAAAAATACACATTCTAAAAACATCCAAACTTCTGTTCACCTTTCCTCTGAAAAAAATAAAAATAAAATAAAACAGGTGGTTCTACTCAAGTGCCCATTTGTGCCTGAAAGGTGGTTCTACTCAGGTGCCCATTTGTACCTGAAATAATGTACAGAGGGGTCTTCCTCCAGCAGTAAAGCTGGAAAGTTGTCTTAATTATTACCTTTACTGTGTTGGTGTCATGTAAAACCCAATAAAAAAAGTTAGAACTGTATTATGGAGTTTAAGAGATTTGTAAAATTCCTAATCAACTATAAATCATGTTTGGATCTGGACAAAACCTATCATCATTTTAAGGAAAATTAAAAAATATGAACTGACTGAACAGTAAACAGTGTTGGCTATGGTTAAAAGGCAATGTCACAATATTGGTCTGCACTAGTTGCATTGGTAAGTCCAGCTGCAGCTAGCAGGCTAAAGATTAAGTTATTCATAGTATAAAGTACACTGCAGTGCTGACTGATCATTAGTCTGTATTGGTCACATGGGTATAGTCTGTTCTTGCCAGCAGTAGAAATTTGTTAATGTTCTTTATCATAATTTGTTCATGTTTTCCAGGTATAAAAAGAATTTGAAAGCTCTATATTTGGTGCATCCAACCAATTTCATTAGAATATTGTGGAATATATTCAAGCCCATCATCAGGTAAATCTGTTACTATATTTAGCTTAGTAACCTCCCCCTAGTAGATGCTTGTACTTAGTGCAGCTTCACATTGGCATGGAGTTTTGAAAACTGTGAGGTGTTTTACTGAAAGGGACTTTTTTTAAATGTTTTCATATAAAAAAGGACATGTTTTCAGCTGAATATTAAAAACTTTATATATCTTAAATAAGCAGTTTAAATAAAATTATTTATATAAGCAATTTAGAAAATAAAATTATTTATATAAGAAATTAGAAAAATATTCACAAAATGTTATTGCTTTCAAGATTTAACTTCAATGAATGACATATCTGAACCTGAAATAAGACTGTGTCTAGTTAGGTCAAAGGTCAAGATCACATAACTGAAAGGTCAAAAGTGGGTAAAATAGATCTTGGCAAGAGTTATGTTAAATTAATATTTGAAATAATTTTCATCGATCTAGATCTGAGGTCTTGCAAAAAAAGGTTGCAGAAAAGAGGTCAAAGGTTAAGTGCAGTTTTAAAGAGGTCAAAAGTTTATTAATGTGTCAAAGGTTTTGACAAGTATGTTGAGAGCTTCTCAGGATTATACATTTATTTTAAAACTTAGGTCAAAGGTCAAACTTACAAAAGAAATTATGTTCATTGAACAATTCTGTTATTAAGCAAAAAAAGGAAATTGAAATTCAGACTAAATGTTAATGCAACAATGAAAATACGTGGTCATGGGTCTTGCATGATGTATTTTAGAGATAGAGATTTTAGTACCCCCTTTTTTTCACTTGACAATTACTAGAATTTTAAAAGGAATAAGTCTTTGTTGGGTTGTCTCTATTTTATGTACATTTAGATTACCGTACATTAGAAGCTGGTTGCATAATAACAATATTATTTTGAACTTGAATGTGGGAAACATTTTCAGTTTTGAGTAACCACAATGTTTTTTTCTTTTTCTTTTTATTAAAAGATATTACATATTGTAAAGCTGTAGCTTGAGCCCTAAGGTTAATTTTATATTAATATTTGAGCCGCGTCATGACAAAACCAACATAATGGGTTTGCGATCAGCATGGATCCGCGCAGTCTGATCAGGATCCATGCTGTTCGCTATCAGTTTCTCTACTTGTAATAGAGTTGGTAAGCGAACAGCATGGATCCTGATCAGACTGCGCGGATGCGCAGGCTGGTCTGGACCCATGCTGGTCGCAAACCCATTATGTTGGTTTTGACATGACGCCACTCATTTATTCTTGGGAAACAAACTTTGCATTCACACCAATGAAATATCATGCTGTAGAATTCATAGAATTCATCTTTCAAATATCATGTCATTTTAATGCCTGCTAAATTTTAGTTATATATTATATGAATAACAATATATTTCCACCATTAAAGCCTCAACTCTTTATTTATTAAAACTGAAAAATAAATTTAGATTTAAAAAAAAGATTATGAATAGATACTTTTAAATGCATTTTAAAATATTAATTTTGCATATGCAGTCATAAATGGTAAAATCTGTTTATTTGTGGTCAGGTTACTTTGAAATGTATACCATATCTCTTTAAACAATTTCCACTCTACATTATAAAAAAAAAACATTTATCGACTATGTGCGACTAATTAAACTCTGGTGATTTTGTTGTTGCAAAATAATCCTGTGTGCTACAAAAGAAGGTATGTGATATACTCTCAAGCTTTTGACTAACATTTTTACCTAGCGTAAACTGGTTTTCTACTGGTGTCTGGTCAAAGCCCTATCCTTAACAAAATATCTTCCCCCCCCATTTTGCAGTGGTATATATTTAAAATTCACACTCAAAGTTACAAAATAAAAACCACACAAATGGTTTAAATGGGTGCACATGTTATTTGTTTTCATTTTACTTTAAAAGATATAATTGGACCTCCATGTATGTATGGATATAGTTGATGAAAAAATCTGGAAAAGGGGTAATCCCCGACTACCTGCCACTAGCTGCTCACTTTTTAGCTCACCTGAGCATGCTCAGGGTGAGCTTTTAGGATCGATGATTGTCCGTCGTCCGTCATCCGTTCACATTAAGTTGTTAACACTAGCGGTCGCATTTTTGCCTCAATCATCATCAAACTTGGTCAGGATGCTTGTCTAGGTGATAGCTCGGATGAGTTCGAACATGGGTCATCTCGGATGAAAAAGAAGGTCACCGGAGCTAAAAATAGAAAAACCTTGTTAACACTCTAGCGGTCACATTTTTGCATCAATCATCATCAAACTTGGTCAGGATGTTTGTCTAGGTGATTGCTCGGATGAGTTCAAACATGGGTCATCTCGGATGAAAAAGTAGGTCACAAGAGCTAAAAATAGAAAAACCTTGTTAACACTCTAGCAGTCACATTTTTGCATCAATCATCATCAAACTTGGTCAGGATGCTTGTCTAGGTGATAGCTCAGATGAGTTTGAACATGGGTCATCTCGGATGAAAAACTAGGTCACCAGAGCTAAAAATAGAAAAACCTTATTAACACTTTTGCGGTCACATTTTTGCCTCAATCATCATCAAACTTGGTCAGAATGCTTATCTAGTTGATAGCTCGGATGAGTTCGAACATGGGTCATCTCAGATGAAAAACTAGGTCACAGGAGCTAAAAATAGAAAAACCATGTTAACACTCTAGCGGTCACATTTTTGTTTCAATCATCATCAAACTTGGTCAGGATGCTTGTCTAGGTGATAGCTCAGATGAGTTTGAACATGGGTCATCTCGGATGAAAAACTAGGTCACCAGAGCTAAAAATAGAAAAACCTTGTTAACACTCCAGCGGTCACATTTTTGCCTCAATCATCATCAAACTTTGTCAGGATGCTTATCTAGTTGATAGCTCGGATGAGTTCGAATATGGGTCATCTCGGATGAAAAGCTAGGTCACAAGAGCTCGGATGAGTTCGAATATGGGTCATCTCTGATGAAAAACTAGGTCACAAGAGCTAAAAATAGAAAAACCTTGTTAACACTCTAGAGGTCACAATTTTGCCTCAATCATCATCAAACTTGGTCAGGATGTTTGTCTAGGTCATCATCAAACTTGGTCAGGATGTTTGTCTAGGTGATAGCTTGGATGAGTTCGATTATGGCTCATCTCGGATGAAAAAGTAGGTCACCGGAGCTAAAAATAGAAAAACCTTGTTAACACTCTAGCGGTCACATTTTTGCATCAATCATCATCAAACTTGGTCAGGATGCTTGTCTAGGTGATAGCTCGGATGAGTTCCGAACATGGGTCATCTCGGATGAAAAAACTAGGTCAACAGAGCTAAAAATAGAAAAATCTTGTTAACCACCTCCAGCGGTCACATTTTTGCCTCAATCATCATCAAAAACTTGGTCAGGATGCTTATCTAGTTGATAGCTCGGATGAGTTCTAACATGGGTCATCTCAGATGAAAAACTAGCTGTCACAAAGAAGCTAAAAAATAGAAAAAACCATGTTTAACACTCCAGCGGTCACATTTTTGTTTTCAATCATCATCAAAAAAAAAAAAAAAAAAAAAAACTTGGTCAGGATGCTTGTCTAGGTGATAGCTCGGATGAGTTGGAACATGGGTCATCTCGGATGAAAAAGTAGGTCACCGGCGCTAAAAAATAGAAAAACCTTGTTTAACACTCTAGCAGTCACATTTTTGCATCAATCATCATCAAACTTTGGTCAGGATGCTTGTCTAGGTGATAGCTTTGGATGAGGTTTCGAAAAACCATGGGTCATCACTGGATTGAAAAAACTAGGGTCCCCCCGGGTAGCTTAAAAAAAAGAGAAAAGAACCTTATAAACCCACTTTTGCGGGTCACCATTTTTGACTGAATCATCTCAAACTTGGTTCAGGATTGCTTTTGTCTAGGTTTGATAGCTTGGGATTGGAGTTTGAACAGGGTCATCCGGATTGAAAAAAAAGTATGGTCCCACCGGCCTTACAAAAAATAAGAAAAACCCTTTTGTTAACACTCAGCCCGGTCACCTTTTTTGCATCAATTTCATCATCAAAAACTTGGTCCAAAGATGCTTGTCTAAGGAGATAGCTTGGATGAGGTTCACCGAAAAACCATGGGGTCATCCTGGATGAAAAAACTAAGGTTCCCACCGGCGCTAAAAAAAAAAAAAAACCTTTGTTAACACTTTCTTAGCAGAGTCCACATTTTTTGCCCCCTCCCCAATCATCAAATTTTTCAAAAAAACTTTTGGTCAGGGATGCTTAGTCAGCGGTTGATAGCTTGGATGAGTTGAAAAACATGGGTTCATCTCAGATGAAAACTAGGGTCCCACCAGACAAAAAATAAAAAAATCCTTGTTAACCCACCTTCTAGCGGTCACCATTTTTTGACACAAAAGTGTCATCAAAAACTTGATCAAGGATGCTTGTCTAGGGGTACTTTGCTCGGGATGAGTTCGAACATGGGTTTCATCCTCGGATTGAAAAACTAGGGTCAACAGGAGCTAAAAATAGAAAAAAACCTTTTGTTAACACTCTAGTTGCTTACTGTTTTGATCCAAGTATCCGGAAATGGTCTGAAAGTTTGTTTTGATGATTTCTAGGTCAAGTTTGAATATGGGTCACCTGGGTAAAAATCTAGGTCACACTGCTCAAATATGGATAATCCTTTATAACACTGTAGTGGTCACATTTTTGACTCACCTGTCATGAGACTTGGTCAGAATGCTTGTCTAGGTAATTGTTTGGATGAGTTTGATGGGTCAGGTGAGCAATCTAGGGCCATCATGGCCCTCTTGTTTTGGTTCTATTATGTGAGGAAGAGCAGATGTTTGAGGCAAATCTGTCAGTTTTTGTTGATACCAATAATGATAAAGTTGATGATTTACAAAGATTTTGTAAATATTTCACAAACAAATATATGAAATTCGTTGAGTCTGAAAAAAGTTGCTACATTTATAATTATTAACATGTGAATTAAGTTTTATTTTTTATTTTGGATGAAATTTTAAGCTGTGATGTAATTAACAGGGAAATTTATTTAATTAGCAA